AAAGTCATAAGAGACTGCTTAAATAAAAAAAAACTTCTAAGTACACTGCGTTCAATGAAATTTGCTAATTAATGAGTTAATTTACTTTCCAGCTTATAATGGAAGATAAAGCAAACATAGAACGACAGATAAACGAACAGTTGGAAGACATAAAAAGAGAGAGAGCAGAAATGGAGCTCCGTTTAACTGAATGGATGGAAGAAGAGAGACGTCTTCTAGAAGAACGTATCGCGAAACACGTTGAGAAAGAACGAACAGCTTTAGAAGAGAGGTTAAAGTCGAGGTTATCAAGAATAGAAGAGCATAAAAAGAAGATGGAAGAGACTCTATCATATAATTTGGAATGGCATGAAGCATTGCTGAGGTTAAATGAACAAGAGAATGGAGAACTAGATGCTAATATAAAGGAGAATGAAAAAGAAGTTGAGAAGTGTTTGAAAGAAGTGGAGAACTTTAAACAACTTTGTGATGAAGGTAAATTAAAAAAAATTAAATTAAATTAAAAAAACAAGATTTACTGTATCCTTATGACATTTAATCGCAGAAAAAAGTCAAATGACATCTCACTTGTCAAAATAGAACCATACAAAATGACATACATTGGTGTGAAAAACATTTTCCGTCTGAATCGGTTAACGGTTTTGACTCTGAATCGATATTTGTAAATATAGTATAGTAAATTTATGAATATTTTGGAAACTTTGATTAAAAAAAATAAAATCAAAGTACATGAATGTAAAATAATTTGTTGTGTTTCAGGTATGAACGCGGTGTCAACAGAGGTAGACTCCTTGAGTGGTAACGTTCTGAATGTTGTCGCTGAAGTTAAGAGTAAAATGGTGGATGTTGTACAAAGCGCCAAAGACAAAGTGGAGGTATGTATTACTACATTATTATATTGAAAAAATATTCGATAACTCAAAAGAAAAATAACAAGCGTAGTTTTTCAAGGCTCTATATTTTTTTTTAGTAATTTTCTTACACATTTGATCTTTATAATTAGTATTTTATAAGATAATATGAAAAATATACGAATTAAATAATAGTTGGTTCTTTACTAAATAATAAAGTTAAATTTCTTATGAATTTTCTTGAAATACGCAAATAATTACAGATGGAAAGCAAGGAAGCTATGTCAAGCAGCCAGCAGGCGTCGGAGCAGGCGTGCGCCAGTGTGGAGCTGGCCATACAGACCGCCGCACACCACTGCCAGCTGGCCATCACTGGCATGCTGGAACAGATTAACGTTAGTAATCCAATTCTAATAAAATACATATAGCTGTTTTGTATTTTATACAACAAAGTCTTTCAAATACTATCAAAGATTATAAAAATAGAAAATTTGAGTAACTATTTGGTATTTTAACCGATGTAGTTTAACGCTAGTCTTGTCGGGGATTATTTTATATTATTATGATGATATTTTTATTTTAGATTTTATGTAAAATGTTACAGACACAAACTAAAACAATTTAAATAATTATAGCAAAATTGGGTGTCACCCGCGACTCCGTCTGCGCGGGATTACAAAATATATAGTAACCAATTCTCAGAGCTACTTAATATGCATATAATAATTCATAAAATTGTGCCAAGTTGCGAAGAAGTATAACTAACATTGTGACACGAGAATTTTGTATAAAAATGTATTTTTTTAATCAGGCAAACTCGACATCGACGATAGAAGAAGTGTCCTCAGTATGCAAGAGCAGCGCGGCTCTGGAGAGTGTCAGCCGCAGTCACCTGGCGGAGCAGAGGTCGCGTCTCTCCGCCGCGCACACGCACGCTCACAACTTCTACTCCGCGCTCAGGCATCAGATGGATCTGCAGGAGGAGGCGGAGCAGAACTGTCTCAAGGAACAGTACAAACTTTACTCGCCTACCGGTAATGGTTCAATATTTCCTTAAAGTTTCATGACATTTACATTTGATTTTGTCATTTATTGTTTTTTTTTGTATAAAAATAATAATTTTGAATTACCACATTCTCTATATTAATATAATTAAGTACAGTAAAACGGGACATAATACATGTGTGTGTACGTGCAGGTCGTACTCCAGCGCGTGCGCAGTACCAGTACCCGCGCAGACTGCCCGCCACCTCCCCGCACGCGCGACTCCTCGCTCGCTTCCGCGCCGCACGACTCGCCACGCGACAGAACAGTCGCGAACATGACCATGTATGTATTACATCCTCTTACATGCTTAAAGATACATGTTTATTGTTTTTAATTTATCTTCAACTAGCTGTCGCCCACGACTCCGTCTACGAGCAATTATAACTAAGTCTAATAAGTAGCCTATGTCAAATGTCATTGAGGTTCGTTGGGCCGTTTTGGATATACCTTCTAATAAACATCCCCCCTTTTTTGCAAAAAGGAGTAAAGAAGAAAAAAGATAGATTACTGCTGTGTTTACTACAAAATAACAAACCTCTATTATATTCCTGCAGGAAGAGTGTATAATGGTTGAATCAGAGGAGACGCGAGCCCAGAGCGACTGCGAGTCCTCCAGCTCCGAGGACTCCGCCGTCGTGTTCGTGGCGCCTTCGCCCCCCGCTGAGATTGCACCAGCTGACCATCCCCCGCTCATCAAGTGCACCTCGGAAACTGACATTTATGTGCGACAGGTGAGCAACAGATATAACACTCACAAAATATGTCAACTGACATCTTGACATCATATTTTGACCAATTAGAGGGCAGCAATTGTGAATGACACAACGCCGTGGACAACTCATAATCATGCGCCTAGATAGAAGAAAATACTAGCTGTCGCCCGCGACTCCGTCCGTGCGGAATTAATCTTAATAACCAATGTGTTCTCCCAGACTATGCTCTACATCTATGCCAAATTTCATCAAGATCCATGCAGCAGTTCCATACATCTAAACATTAGCATCTATAAAATTAGAAAGATTTATAAAATAAGCCATTGACATGGATATTTCTAATATTTTATCTATTGTCTCGTAGCGTCAACAACATCAACAAGGCAAGGAGAATGTGAATCGTTCGATGAGCTTCAAGAAGCCATCCAAACTGCCCGCACCTGCACACGCACCCGCCTCCGGGAAGAAACCTCTGTGTGATCGCAACGCATCCTGACAACATACACTCATCATTTATAATAAATAAATATAGTATTTAAGTAACCTTTGTCATGTTGTACGTTGTTTAAAAAATATTTTATGCAATTAAAAAGCACAAAAATCTACATATTACGTATAATACGATTCAAACTTTATAGATGTTTGTTGTTGCAATATTAATATGAGTGTCGAATGTCAAAGCTCTTGTATTAAAACATGCCATCTCTCTTATTCTCTATGGAAAACCAGAGACAACACAACTTTTAACCACCAATTGTATGGCTTCATAATTGGTGAAATAAAAAAAAATATTTAAAAATAGTATTTTAGCTTTAGAAATCAGGCAAAATCCCACCTGAAATTTATAATTTGTTTGACCAAACGCTTGTCAATTTGATGAAACGAGGTAAATATACACAAATACATACCCAATATTTATGTTATTATCTGCTTTTTAACGTGATTTGTACCCAAAGATCATTTTCCTTGCTTTTTTTCCTTAATCCATTTAAAATTCTAATTAACTCATTATAATTTTGATGAAAAAAAAACTGCTAGACGGTTTTAAAAGTAAAAAAACAGTATCCTTTTTTATATTATTTAGTGTAAAGGTGTGCCCACACTTGAGTGTTTGACTCACGATTGTCGTGTGTGTTCACCTTAATCATTTTAATATGTTTGTCGTAAGTATTATACTTTTGAATAATTTTAAATACACTCGTATATTTATGTATGAATATATTTTGAATGGACTTTTTTTTTTCTTGTTTTATAAATAATATAATTAATATAAAGTTTTCTGGTATGTAGTTATAATTGTGTACGAAATAATGATTTATGTATTCATTATAGAGAATATTAAAAATGTTTATTTTTTATTTAATGAACCCTTCCCTGCTACTTTACGAAAGACTCTGCGTACAGTAGTTTAGTTTAACAGGAAAATAAAGTAAATTAAAACAAAAAATACCTTTTTAATAAATTTATTTTTCAAACAGATTATTCTGCGCGTGTTGAGAGCGACTCAGTACACTAATAGCACCAAAATATTTACATCATCAGACGAATAAATAATTTAAATGTGACATTAATGGCTTTAAAGAAATATATTGCATTTATCTAATTACACCATATCCTTAAAACTATAATAAATTACTAGAACATATATAAAATGTATAAAACTTAGTGTTTGGTCTCATTCCTATACTAAAGTGATCCCACGGGAACGCGTTATTTCTGTCACTAAATGCATATCAAAAATCTATGGTCGTAGAAAAAACTTGTTATAAATAAGATTTTCTAAACAGTTTGGCTATAATAAAATATAAATGCAAAATAAGCCATAACATAATTTAGAATTAAAGACATTTTACATATTTTATCATTAGACTGGACATTACGAACAACCGTACGCAAAAATGGTACTACTGCTAAAGTTCCAGATGTCGAAAGTTAGGTTATGTGACAGTCAAGATGGCGGGTGTGCCCTTATATTATTGTTTGTTTAAAAAAATAATGGAAAGTGCTCGTAATGTCCACTCCATAACTAGAAATATATTAGAATCTGTTTTTATGTTGCTTTAAATAAGTTTTTCTTTATGCTTTTAGTATAACTATTGAATATTTTTCAAGAAAAATAATGGTGGGAGAACAATAATAAATGCCACATATGACTTAACTATAATAAATAAATTATTCTAAATAGAGAAGAAAATATTGTTTATTTACATTTTTTTATTCCTAAATAAATAGCATTGAAAACTTTTATAAAAATACTGCATGACTATCTATGGATTTCTGAGACCAACATCTCTGTAGAAAACGTATCGTCATCCCTGTCATTATTTTTGACAAAATAGAGATAACAATATGTTTTAAACGGGGATTTCGATCTCAGAAAGTCACGATTAGTCAAGGCCAGTTATTTTTCAAAGACGCCTCATATTTGTCTTTAATTTTTTTATTTAGGTAGGAGGTGACTGGGTGATATTAATTTCGGGGTTATATTTTAAATATTCTTGTTTTGACAAAACCTTTTCTAAAATCTAAAAGTAAGGTTACAGTGCCGAAAACATTATTATAAAAATTATTATGTCTCGGTGGTTGGTTCCGTTCATTTTTTTTTTATAGAGAGGCGTCTTTATACATTTTACGATCTAATATAGTTTTCCATTTAAATATAAATCTATATGAGGTCTATTTATTTTAATTTTTTACTGGAAGACTATCTGGATAATAAAAAATAACGTCTCGCTGTTGATAAAAGCCAAATAATATTTTCGCAATAATTTTCAAGACTGTGCAACTTTAACTTTTTTATTTTTAAAATAGAGCGTTGTGCTTGTCTTACCAAAAACAGTATTTATTTAATTAAAAACAAATGCTGTTTAAGGCGTATGAATGTTAAAAACACTGTTAATTTTTAGGTTATAAAGTAAAAAAATATATTGTCTATGGACATCATCTGTAGAAGACCATAGATGTCATTTGGATAGTCTTCCAGTGTAATTACCGATGATGGATATCTATGGATTGTTGACGGATATGATCTGGTTGATCCAACCGATGAAGGAGGAGACCTTGACGTAAACGCCGGGTACGTCTTGCCGGCCGCAGCCGAAGCCCCACGAGACCAGACCCACCAGCTCGTAAAATCCATCGTCCTGGCACACCAGAGGACCGCCGCCGTCACCCTGGGGATGTAGTGTTATTTATACAGATCTAAATTAACTCGCAGCTTATGGTGTGGTCTAGAATTTTTTATTTTAGTAAAAGTACAAGAGAAAATTGTTTCTCATGCGTACATATACACAAAAGACGCTGTTAATTTTGTTATACATTTAAGATAGAATAGAACTTGACAAATATGTTAAGTTTGACGGAAAAGGCCTGTTTAGCTGTTTAAGCGCCTTCAGTCAATAGTACCTAGTGCAAACTTTTATTTTCTGCTGTTTACTTGGTTAGAATATTATACAACTGTTCTAGTCCAATTGATAACTAACCTGGCAGGCGTCGTTGCCCTCCTCTCCGCCCGCACAGAAGGAGGAGGAGGGCAGGATGAACACCTTTTCGGTGACTGCGTTCACTTTGCGCACGCACTCAGAGTCATTCACTATGGGCAGCTCAGCCTCACGGATACGGAGGGGAATCGGACCCGCTGGAAAATGTACGTAACTTTAGATTTTTAATTTTCATCATCCGATGTATTCTACTTAAAACATTTAAATTGCGCGAAAATGTAAAATTATTATAGTTGTTATTGATGCTTTTGATTAAAAGAAGTAGGAGTTTAAGAAAATACATTTTGAAGAAGTACTTCCGAATATTTACATAAATCATAAATTTAACTAAAGTTAAATAATAAATAGGTAAGATTTAACGTGTACTTACTCTCTCCCATATATCCGTAGCCGGTGACAGTGCAGCGCTTACCGGCGGGGTGCTCTTCGTCCCGCGCGGGCAGGCAAACCAGGCACACGCCTACAACATAATTGTTTAAATTAATAACAACTGTATATTTTACATTGAAGAACAATTATTGAGCAAGCAATTGGATTAAGTAGAGATTAAGTTGGAAAAAGAACTTTAAAATGAACATAGAGGGGCAGATCGGCAGTGAAGCCTAGTAAGATATAGATGGATTGTGTGAAAGGAGTCAAGAATCAGAACTGAGCGATGACTCAAATGACGCTTGATAAATCGATCTTTAGGACAAAAATGATGCACCGCTCCATAGATTATGATGGATGGATGAATAAAGAAAAGTGAGGTTATAAAGATGTTTTAACTGACCGTCTTTAAGCTCTGCCTTCGTCTTGAGCTTGAGTAGCGCGATGTCGTTATCAAGGGTCTGGCTGTTGTGGTTATGGTGTATGTATGTGGTAGCCACGAGCAGAGTCTGGGCGCTGGGCGAGCCGTACTTGCGCGTCAGATCGTTGTCCCCAACGCGCACGAAGTAATCGTCACCAGAGCGCACAATGCTGTCAAATTTAATTAAATTACATTGTGAACTTAACTAAGTTAGCTTATACCAACTTACAACCATATCTTAACATCGTGTGGGATCGTAGTCAAGTTCTAGTGTTTTATCGTCATAAAAATAAATTTCCATTTTGGCTATTACTGATCTCTATACGGCCTTAAATAGTTCTATTTTGTGCCTATTTCCGTTATTTTGATGTTGAAAATAGCGGTTGTAAGAATTATAACTAATGATATAGATAGAATTAACTGTCAGTAATATCAAGCCGTTCCGGCTTATAAAAGTTTATAAGCCGGAACGAAATAAAGGTTGTCAATTGCAGTGACCTTAAATGTCTAGCTGCCTTAGTCATTGTGTCATTTTATCGTTGGTTTGAGTACATACTTGGTGACGCAATGCGCGGCGGTAAGCACCCACTGAGTGCCCACAAGCGCGGCGCCACACACGTATTGATTGTTGTTGTTGATGAGCGCCACCTGCCAGCACCACTCGCCCGGTAGACCGTCCTCGCCGCCCATCACGCGGCCCGCACGGGAAGATGTACCTGCATAGCACAAAAGTTAATTATAAAAGAATTCATAGTTCATCTACGTAAACAGTAAGGCAAATAATAAACAACGAACCTTTAACTCCGCATACATATTTGTTGTATTTCTCTGCGGTATGCATCATCGTTGTTCCATAGCTTGGCTCGTAGGGATCTGTAACATTGGTAATGTTATAATTCCAACGAGCTGAATAGACTTCCCAGAATGTTGTCTAAGAATCGAGGTAATTGAGCATTTCAGCCTAACATTCTTGATCTTACATGCAATGCGATCGATAGGCGTGGTGTGCTGGGGCACGTGGGACACTTGGGGCACGTGAGGCACATGGGGCACGATCTCGTTGGTGGTGAGAGCGTGGTGCTTGTACCCAGCCGTGGTGGTTGTGAGCGGGTAGGAGTCGTTCCGCTCGGGAGTGCCCACCACTTCGATGATCTTTGACTTGGGCGCGCAACACTGAGTGCCAGACTTCTTGCATTTGAATACGTCGGTTATTTCCGCGTTGTCTGCAAAGATAGAGTAAAAAATATTTCAGTGCCAAAGGATACCTATTTAGATTGCTACTGTTAGAAAGTATCCTTCATTTTTATTTTCTGTTTAGAAGTAAGATAACTTTTATAACCCGGTACGATAAGTTTTAAAGACGAAGTAAAGTCAAAGTTTCCATGAAGATGCAGCATCAAAAGTTAGAGATACTCACGGAAACAAGTGAAGGAGAGCAGGGGCACGACACAGGAGCCGGGGCAATCGGGGCGGGGGTCCGCGGGTGCGGGGGGCGCGGGAGGCGGCGTTGTTGTAGTGGGCCGCGGGGTCGTCGGCCGGGGGGTCTTCGCCGCTCTGAAATATTACAATACCATTTTTTTACACAGTGTAGTTAAATAAACTAGCAATCAGATAATAGCAACCGATCAAGTCGAGGTTCGGCCCTCTCGGGCACCCTTGAATCGGAATGCTAAACGCGTAATGAGTGACAGCCCAAGCCGAGGTCCCCTCTTGGGGGCCCTTGAGACCAGTCACTCCATGGAGCGTCCACCTAAGCGATCTAAGAGCTCGGTGACCTCCCAACCCGGTAACTGTAATGAAGTAACAGCCCGAGCCGAGGCTCCTGAGGGAGCCCTCGAGTCTTGTTACTCTTAAACGAGGTTCAGGCTAAGCGCCATCTGCGCTCGGCCACCTCAAGCCGGGTGAAGCTGTAAATGCCTCCTCAAGGCAAACAGTGACTACTCAGTCACAAAAAAAAAAAAAAGTGTAGTTAAAGTGTTTTGGCATTTGGTAAGGTACTTAGTGATAAACTGATAAAAAGCTGTAGTATATGTATGTAATGATGTTACCTAGTATTGTCGCAGCAGAACATGTTTGCGAGCCGGCAGTTTGTGTGCGCGTTGATTTCTGAAGGATACTTGCAGAAGGCCGCCATCACAGTCGGCAGGCAGAAGCTGGGGCAGCGCGGCAGCGGCGGCTGTGCAATACAGTTTATATGAACAATAGCTTACGCCCGCGACTCCGTCCACGTAAAATTAAAATTAAAACTTAACTTATTGAAAAGATAATGTTTATAGGCAATAAAAGTTATTAAATAAATGCTGTCCTGCAAACAGTACTGTATAACTCACTGGTGTGGTGGGTCTCGGTGTGGTGGCAGGTCTACGCGTGGTGGTATCCTTGCTGTCTGTGATGCAGCAGGTGCCACCGTCTGCACAGCTCGCCTGCTCGTCCACGTGGTCGCATAGCAGTACGAACAGTCCGCTGATACATTCTCCACGGCATTCTCGCTCCTTGTGGCTCACTGCTGTCTTCTTCTTAGGCGGGGGAGTAGTTGTAAGCTGGAATGTAAGTAAGTTTTATACTACAGACTGCTTAAACTTGATTTGCTGTTGGATATTGTATTTAGAGGTTTAAGATGTGTTAGAATAAAGTAAAAAAATATATTAAATATAATTTCATTGTCAGTGTCTCGCGACTTTGTCAGCGCAGAATTTAAATAAAATGTAGCCAATGTGCCCACATGCATCAGCGACCTTCCCGTTAAAATAGGAACCCGTTCCGAAGATTACCCGGACCAACGCGGGCTTGCGGATAACCATACAAACAGACAAAATAGCCGTTATAATTCCCCTTACCGCAGTACTCGGCTTCTTAGTATGATGATGTTGGTGCTGGTGCTTCTCGTTGGGCACGACGAGGTCATCAGGCGGGCTGTCGCCGTAGAAGTCCCTGGCGACACAGCAGACGCGGCCGCTGGCGCACAGTCCCGGCGAACTGAGGTAGGCCTGACAGTACTGTGCCAGTTGCACCACAACACACACGTCCGGACATGCTATATTACCTGACATAGGAAATATTATTTCAATCTAGTAACAAGATCCAAGGTTAATGGAAGACTTGGCTAAGGCTATCCAATTGTCTCACCGATGTGAATCGAAATGTGTTTGTAAAAGCATTTGTTAAACAGCGAGACGCACGGTAAGAAACACAACTTAATTCTAGATTTTAACTTGTCAAAATATAATTTCAAAACACAACACAAAAGTTATCTTTTCTAATACCAGACAAGACTCTTACATTTTTATGAATATATTTTCCTCGTGTGTGTGTATCTATTACTTTATTTTTCTCCTATTTATTAATTTGTTTATGTATGTGTGACTATCATATGATCGTAAGAAATATCATCATGTATCAAACGTATATCATGTACTTAGTTTACTTAGTTTAATGTCTTCATGTATTTTCTTATTTTCCAAATTGTATCTCATAATATCACGCTTAGTTTTACATGATACGTACGTACTGTTATTTTGTTTATGGTTAGTGCACTCCTAGGCCCCGAGATACAGGCTCAGCCTACTTCGGGGTCTGCAAGATACTTCACTATATATTATTCTAACGTGTTTTTGTGAAATAAATTTATTCTTATTCTTATTCTTATCTGCGTATGTACTCGCGTAAATGAAGGCCTAAAATGTAATATGTGTACCTAATAATTACCACTGTCTTTGTGTCTGTCAGGCGTCAGTGTGGTTGTCTCGTCTTCTTCCGATTCCGTGGTCGTGTAGCGCGTCGTGAACGGACGCCGAGTTGTTATCGCTGTGTCATTTTCTGGAATTAACAACGATAGTCAAATTAAAAAACAAACTAAAACACAAAATCTCAACCCAAATGTTATTAATTACCCATAGACAGTAACTACACTGTTGTAAAAAAGGGTCTTGTACCGAACCCTAAAAAAACCTAAGCAAACATTGTAAAGAAATAAAAACTATTACTAGCAGGCGCCATTAAACTATTACTATGTAAAATAGTCAATAGCTTTTATCCGCGATTTCGTCTACGCGGAATGAAAATGAAACATTTTCGTAGTAAATCCAATGTCCAATATTACTCAGTGATAAAGTAGATTCCTAATGGTAAAATCATTTTTGGAATTCCGTTCGTAGTTTTTGAGTGTATCCGTCACATAGAACAATACAAATCTTTTTTTATATTATTAGGTGACAAACGAGCTAGCGGCTACTTGAAATCGCGAAGAATAGCGAAGTGACCGTTGCCCATAGACATACGCAATTTCATACGTGTTGCCTACCTTTAATCGACGGAGGAGAGGATGCTCAGAAAGAAAGTATTTTCCCTTTCCATGCATCCTCTCATGCGGAAAGTCCACTTCCCATCCTTTCCTTATAAGAAAAAGGGTGTGAAGGGAAAGAGGACTAAATTAGGCCTCCATGACACACACTCATCAGACGAAACGTGGAATAGCTTCCACTTGACGCCTGTCTTCTGTGTGGTCGTGGTATTTCACCGGGCGAGCCGGGCCAATTCGAGCGAAGATGTTAAAGCGGGCTCTACCACTGTTGGACTTTCTTCTTTTTACTTTATAGTACTAATTAAAATATTAGCTGGAAGAAAACTAGAATATTTCATGTTGATTTAATCCAAATTGTTAAAACCTTTTTATCTAGAGAACTAAACTAGTGTACTTTGTTACATTTGAATGTTGAATCTATGTCAGTAGGCTTCACTACTACGGTACTAGCAATTGTGTTAATTACTGACGGGAAGGGCACCTAACAATAGACTGAGACCGTTAAAGTTCATACAAACATTAGAAAGGCACTTTACAGTCGCAAACAAAGTCGTAAACAATAAAGTTGTGTTCACAAAACATTAAATTTCACCTAAATTTACTAAAGTACTTTTAATTATAACAACAATTAACACACTTTGTCAGTCTCCCACGATCGTGTTTCCACAATCTATTAGTCTCAATCTAAAAAGTTGTATCTGTTTTAACAGTACAATGTGAAACCTTCTAACCATTACTTAGTAAACCAAATAATCAAAGAGCTCGCTATCAAATAAAGAGGAGCGTTATTGACTTTATTTCTTAAAGGTCCTGAATTTAATCAGTTTTCCGATTAGGACTACATACATGTGAAAGAAAAATCGCGATATAACCTTCACATTATCATCGTCGTGTTATTCGAGTGATGGATAAAGGCTATCCCCAAAGCCATCCAGTGTTTACTCCTCCACACATAGAAATTTCAGTTTGTAGTCCATTCCGCACTGTGCCAGCGTGGTTGTCTAAGGCCTAGTCACTCCTAACATAACGTAGAGAGCTCTTCCACGAGGTAAAGAAAGACACAAAAGAGGATTACCTAAAGGTTCATCCATGCAGCACTTCATGCCGCTGGGGCAGTCTGCATCATCACGCACGTTAGAGCAGATTAGGGCAGTCAGAGTGTGCATACACACGCCCGGACAGCTGCGCGTCTCCACTTGCGTGTCCAGCGACTCGAACAGATCTGTAAGGTAAGCAAACAGTTATTGACCACCGTCCAAATTGTTATCAAATTGAGCTATTACGGTTAAACTCAACCAAAATCTAATATGTGTGTATTTGTATTATACTAGTCACAAATATAAGATGAATAAGAAAAGGTGTATATAATTTTTACTTAAACTTGGTCAGAACCTAACGAGCGAATTTGAGTTGTATTATATTTACCAGGCCAATAACAATTAACTAATTTATAAGTTAAGGTTATAGATACTCAATTTTTAATATAATACGGCGGTAAATCATAAAGGATATGATTGACTAAATATAATGTCTTCAGCGATCGAATGTACTTTTCAATCATTGGCATTAATTACCTTCTCCCTTTCCATTTAGTTTTAAATTAAAAGCAAACAGCTGCAGCCGCTGAGAAAGCCGCCCAGTGACTTCCAGCGACGGCGACCACTTTACAAATGCTTTTTTTTCTTTCATTTTCTAAGAATCTTTTCTCCGCGCTGCCTATATGTGGTCGCGCGGCGCCACTCGCAACTACAGGCATTTTAACATTGATAAACTGTTCTACACGTAGATCTAGGCCGCAATAATTAAAAACAAAACGTGCAAATATGTTAAATGGCCATAGAAATGTCCTTAACTATATGTGTGTAGTAAACGGTATGACATAAATTATTATATAAAATATATATATTCAAGAGACCTAATTTGCTTCACATTGCCACCTAAATAGAGTCCTTAATGAAAAAAGGTTATAAAACGTAATGTTATTATAGATTTGTAAGCCTTAAAATTGAAAAAACAAAAGTGCAAGCGAAAAATTTAGCTGAATCATGAATGAACACTGCTCTGTTGAGTTCAATGAAACAGCAAATTCACAATTGACGCTGCCAAGCGAATTGCAACCTTATTATATAATAGCTATCCTAAACAGAACCCACTGAGCGACATTCCTGAAGATGGGCTGACCGTTAGGTTGACAGTCCCGGCGCACCTCAACACATAAAAACAAATGAATGGAAAACAATTCGAGGTACAAGACACGTGAGTTTGCGTCACACATATAAGAAATAATTTATAATATATTTGTAAGGCTTAAGGTCAATATTAACTTTAATATTATATCTCAGGCCATTGGTCATAATATGACCGTTAAGTGATGACCTAACGCAGGCGGCGCGGAGAAATCGCTCCCCTCGCTCCCCACAGGCCCCCGCTACAGCCGCACCTGAAGAAAACGAAAGTGTACCCTGTCTCGACGTGCAACTAACGAAACACTTGTATTTATCATTCATACGAAGCCTTCAACTTTGGTACGCAGTAGTTAAGGATATTTTTAGTTCTTGCGAGCCATATTACCAAATAGGCATAATGCGTTAGCAGAAGGTCCTGTGTTCGTATACCGCCATGTACTAATGTGTTTTTTTAATTTACATATGTAAAATTTATCCGACATTTTTACGATGAAGAAAAAAAACGTGAGGCACCCTGCACATATCAGTGAAGAAACTCAAAGACATGTGTGAAGTCAATCCGCACTTGGTCAGCATTGACTATAGGCTAGTCATCACTAACTTGGGTAGGCCCCGAGCCCTGTCTTCGAGTACGCAAATTTATTGGCTTAATAATAGAAAGAAATGGAAAAATACTTTGTTTTATAGATATATATGAGGATGAACAATTAATAAAATGACATTTTAATTTGGTGTCGCGTGACTTCGGACAATTTATCGTAAGTGCAGTAATAGTGACAGACGAACATAACAATGCTTTATGATTGATTCAAATTGTTCGTTATTTGGCGCTAAATTGTTTAAATACGATTACATAAAACTAAAATTAAAACCATTAAATTTAATATCAGAATTTAGTTTTAATCAAAATTTTAGCTTCGATTAAAAGTACATGGTTTTTTTTGAGCGACAATTAAAATCAAACGAGACATTATTACGTTAAAAAGATGTTATAGTTTTTAACAACTTGTTAATATTAAATCTTACATAATAATTTAATTATTAATCATACAAGGAAAATAACAAGGAAGTGCCAAAGTGAAAGTTGAATCCTGACATGAAATATGATTCACTGTATCTGATCACAAAACTAAGTGAATTATTCATTCAAAATATTACTTTGAATTTTCCTCATAAACGTATAAAATCAATGAACAATAAGAAACTAAAACAAACGTATTCCAATTGACACTTTCAACTATCCATAAATTTCGCTAAAATTATATAATTCCAAAATATTTCCGGTAAAAAGTGTTTATTACACTATTTTCACGATATAACTATAATAAAATGAAAATCTAATATTAAAATGGCCACCATGTATGTAATTTGACGTGTCTCTGTTTATTTAATTTAGTACTTTAATCAATATGAAGGATTGTGGTATTGATTCAAGGTATTAGAAAATATTGGTTAGTCGTCGTAAAAACATTTAATACTACTTATGAAAAAGTGTTGCCGTATCTCTTATTTTCCTTGAAAAACAGAAATAGACGTATTCCTTACTAAGAATATTGTGGCAGAATAACTCAAATTTGGAACAGTCTCTATCTCATAAGTTTTTTTGATGCTATAAAGTTATTCAATGCAAGAAATCGTTCAAAAATCACAACTTTAACAAACATCCTTCGTCTAATAATGGTACAAACAGACAGGTTACTTTTACGCCTACAACAAGGTACGTGAGTGTATTTAGGAAATACTAGAAAGGGTTCAATGCGAATACTTCTCACTAATGAGTCACGCGACGTTTCACTCTACAGACATTCGTTAGCTGAACTGTCAAGTCTATAAATTAGTCACACCACTTATTAAATGAATAGCACTTCAATCTTACTAATGCTATTTCTTACCATCTTACTTTTTATTAATATTATAAATACGAAAGTTTAAATGATTGTTAGAAGGCATCTACGGAACGGCTCAATGAATGTTGATGAAATTTGACATAGATGTAGAACATAATCTGCTAGAACACATAGCTTACTTATTATGTTTTTTTTTACCGCCCAATGGAGTTTAGGTAGTATGCGACAGCTAGTTATCTTATCTATACGGACGTCTGTCACATGGAATACAATGATTGTTTCAAGAATAAACAAATAAATAAGCTATTATAACAATAAAACAGGAACAAGTTGTGCGTATTGTAAACAGGGTTATTGATAAAGGTGTACAGTGTCTTGTTTCCACAATATATTTTTATATACGAGAAGAGGGCAAGCGATTGACGGGAACGAGGTTATCATCGACGTTCATGGACATCCGCAACACCAGAGGAACTGCAGATGCGTTGTCGACCTTTTAGATAGAGATACGTATCCTTCTTGAAGGACCCAAAGTTGTAGAAATTTTTTTCATTTACATTTTGTGTCTTTGGTAATATCCACCTTTTTATAGATATAAACCAAACATATCAGTTTTTAGTTCTTCAAAGTTAAGTTTACCTGTTAAGTTTTAACTTTAACGTACATATTTATTACTAAGCGTACAAAGTAAATTGTGATCAAGAGTCAAAACTGTCAGGACTTTCTCCATTCCCCCCCTTCCGGTAACCCCGTACCATGTCCACTTCACGGTAATAAACCGGAAACCAGCGCGCACTAACATTGTATAATTGAATAATACAGATAATCTTTTATCAATGGATTCCAGAGTCGATTAAAACGCAATCAAATGTTATGTATAAGCAATAAAACTTTATATTTTTGTGAAGTAATATTTTATATATAAAGTTTGGGTCGTTTTTAAATCAATTTTTCTGGTCAAAAAAATTCTATTATCAAAATGTAATTTGATCACGTTAATGTCTTTTACAAGACAATTTCCTCAAACAGATTTTGTACTTTGATTCAAGCGCGTTGATGTCTTTTATATCGAAATGTTTTTTTTTATTGATGGGAAGGTATTTTTATTAGTTAAGTTTAGGTTATCGCGTAATAATACCTTCTAAAAGATTACCAGTTAAATGAACTTAATAACCTTGTTTTTATAACTTAGTAACGTAAGTTAGTATTGAATCGTTATAGAGGCGCAGGTGTCCGCGGGGGCCGGTGGGAGGCGGTAACGGCTCGATCACCGTTAGCCGCGCCCCATATGCCACCCGGCGCTCAGAACACGATATCTTATGTACTTTACCATACATACAATATTATCTTTACATCATACAACATAACAGTGAGTTTGTGTCAAATTACTTGTAGTAAAACATGCCAACTCTCCCATTGTTTTTCTATAAAACTTGAATTATAACTATTGAAACAGAAATGCACATCGCTTATATAAACTTATAGAAATTTTAAAATAATAGATTAACCGTGAAGGTAAAATACAGAGTAAAAATTTACATTTACAAAATGCTATATCATAGAGGTCACAGACTAAAGAATGTCAGTAGACAATGAGTAGAGTGTAGAGTGGCGGTCATTAACAGCCACAGATAACCTAAATAAAACTACTCATTTGTCTATTGTTAAGAAAGTGCGTATGAAGAGATTTTCATGGGAATTTGTAATATATTTCAACTACAAATACATATCAAACCTCCAACATACTGTTATTTAATTATTATACTTTTTATTAAATGTTAACTATTTACTTGTTATAAACTTACTTACTTGTTAATATTACATTGGCTTCCTTGTTATTTATGTCCGTATTTATTCCATTAGACGTTCACCTAACAACGTTATACTAATCCGTTCAATAAATAAAAAACAAATCGGGGTCATTGACCGCTGACATAGACTATAACTCTCGCGTTGTGCTATCGATATTATATCTCAAATTAAAAAAAATAATGGCCTATGTGCTATTCCAGACAGTTATTTATCTGTGACAAAAATTCAATGACTGCTGCTAACAAACATGCATCCATCGCAACTTTCCTATTTATAATATTAGCATGATTAAATAGAACAATTAATCAATGATTTTTACTTTTAAACTCGTGTTTGTTATGTCTATTGTCTATTGTTTTCAACGATTTTTAACCTTTACTGTACATTCCATCACAAAGGTAATGAATAAAAAGGACAATTATGTAACAATATTTGACATTAAATAGAAAATTATAATAAGTTATGGTTGTTTAAAATTTCTATGGGTTAATATGTGTCAGTTATTTTTTTTTTAATTTCGAACAGTTACCGCGGATCTACTACGGATGTAAATCTTGAATTGTCAATTCTACCCTTTAATACTATTATCAATATGGGTATTACTATAATTAAAAGTTGTAAAGTATTTATATGTTTTAAAAGCATCATCGCATCACACGAGCTGTAAATCTTTTACGAAATAAATACTCAGTAGTGTCGAAACATTACCCAGAAAGTCCGCGTGCGGAGAAAGTATCGGCCTGCGGGGGACAAAGTGGCGCGGGGGCGCAGGGGCGTGTGAGGAGAGGGGTACGTCAGCGAATTTGCGACACAACACTTTCCTACTTGTCCGATCACAATCGATTCCACGCAATCCTTACTAAGCGATTAATCGATTAAAACTAAATCGATTCAAATATTCATATCAATTTAATTTATATATTCAAATAATTGGATATGCTAATATATCGATTTTGTTATATGATAATAGAAAAGAAAGTAATCTCTTGTTGGTTTTCTCTGTTATTTGCATAGTTACGTGTTGGAATGTAACTTAGTTAAGTAACTAAGCGACAATAACTAGATGCGTCCGCGAACTGTTTTATTGCACTAAAGGTTTAAACGAAGCGATCAATTAAAACTTTTAAGTTTTAAATTAAGGAGTAACATTTTTGTTTGTTGCCTGCAGTTGCCTGATTTAGTACGCTTCTCTGGGAATGAAGCTTTATCTAGTCAAATTTGCACTGTATGAGAGAAGGTTAGAACCGACGTTAATGTTAATCAATTGGTTAGATTTACGTCCAGAATTTGGTGTATACGATTTATATTTTTTTTTCATAGATTAGGATTTAATTACACGTACACACGTGACATAATTTGAATTAATGATATTTTTTTCTTCAACGACAGGCAAACGAGTCTAGTAATTGTTTAAAAAATATTAAGGTCTATTAATTACATTTGTAGTCCGTCCCAAGACTGGCCAGACCCGCCCAAGGCTGCAGTTCCTCAGATGACGATGACATCGGCAGAAGGAGTAGGTAATAAATAGAAAGATCTATTATTACCGAATTTCCTGTACTTTTTACAGAAGTTATAAATAAAATCATCAATTTATCTTAATTATCTTTAAAACAATATAATTGAAATTTCGAAGTTAACGATTTGTATATAAAGCTCGATGTTACCTAATTGAAGGATTAAATATATAAGTATAAATGTGTATAACTCATTGACTTTATATACTAATAATTGTCAAGAATTAATTTCCAGTTATGAAGATTCTTATTAGAAATCAATTCAAAATATGCTCACAGTGGAAGTGAGCTATACATTAAAATACTTTTCAAGCCTTAATTAAGTATAATGTAATTGTTAACCTAGCATCGTTTTCATAGAAAAGAGTTAAACGGGAGTGTGTGATAATGAACGTAGAACAACACAACACGCGCCGACACGACGCGACGCCGCAATGTGGAGCGCCGTAACGGAAGTTATTTTAAAGAGAAATCTTATAAAACTTTGACTAATAACTATGACAGTATCTACTAAGACAAATCTATCCTACATAATTTTTGAAATGCACAATTTGTTCTCATAACTGTATTCAGAGAATCGATGTTTATTATATGAGGATAAATATAAAGTAGGATTTTAATTTACATAGGTATGTCCATGTTATCTACCAAAGGATTGTGCGGAAACGTCTCCGAGCCTCGCAACGAGAACACCAAATATGCAAACTCAATTTTCAATTCATACAACGTGCAACCTAAAATCCACGAGACTGTTACGGCCGCTAACACATGCAAGTAGGTGAAAATTTGACCCAAAATCGTAGGCATCTCGGGCGGGAGAAAGTTTCGGGTGAACTGACCTGATATAAACGAGCTGATCCCGTTCTGTGCGCTCGCCGGGGTCAGTATCCCCAGGAGCAGGAGGGCAGCACTGACGCGCGTCATGGCTGTCACTGTCACTTGTCACTGTCAGAGATCTGTGGCGGCAGCGCGCATGGCGTGGCGACCGGTCGCCGCGTCGCCTGCTCGAGACTGACGAGCGCCGGTGAAAGAAAGAAAGGCGGCCGATACCATCGCATAGATCAACGGCTGTCCGCTTTCACACGGCGCGGCGCTTCGATGTTACTGCCTACAATCTATACAACTCTCAGCAGCTACGCTATCTTACAGCAATATCCTCTTTACGAGCAGGCATTTCGGGTTAAGGATCCAGGATATGTATACCATATGAACAGCCAGCAGCATTTGGAATAGGAAATCGTCTATCGTTTATAAAACCTTACCTGAATTTGTGGGAATTGGATGAAACTGCGGCATCTCGCCCATTCAATTCAGCCTATTCGTAATAGCTGCTAGCTGTTGTTACTTTACCGCTAACAGTCAAAACATGATAAGGTTTTGAATATGTAATCGAATTGATTTAGGTAATATATTATGTGTTTATTTTATAAATAGTCGCTTCTACATTTATAAGTAATCTTTGAGAGAATTATCACCGTTTAACGGCAAACAGGTAGGACGACGTAGCTAGAAGCGAGTACGGCCCGACGGTCACCGTCACCATTGAACACGTCTCGACTGCTTTACAGCTTACGTACTACGCTATTGTTGATAAGCTGGTAACTTCATCATTAGCCTGTAGCCTGTAGCTATCCGCTACTTATAGCCCTTCGACAATTGGTAATATTTTAAAAAAATAATCTCGCATATGAAAACCTACAATATCTAAATAAAGCACGTATCTCTCTTCTACTTATGTATCTGTCTCTTTAAACCAACATAAAGACTGGCAAATTCAATCCACAATCATGCAATCCGGAATTATACATGATAACTTAGGTAAAAGCTTAAGTTATGACCAAGAGAGTAAACGACTCAAGTTACTATTTCTAGAATTACAAATTAGTCAATAAGAACTTATATGATTTATTAAATATAAGATTTACATCATTTATATTAATTAAATATATACTAATTTATCTTTAAGATAAAATGACATGATCACCATTATAAGTCAATGATTCCCGGATTCGAACCCGTATACCTATGACAAACGTCATTGACCCAAGGTCGTACTTTATGTAAATAATAATAAAACCAAAAAAGCTCGAATCCATTTAAAAATATATGTAAATTTTAAAGATATCACCGTTATTATTTGGAAATACTACGTAAGTTTACTGTGAACTGTTAACGTGTGGGTGATCATGTTACGACTTTTTAATATATTAGTCGGTTATAACGGTTAAGAATACAAACGCAATGATTAATCGGCATGCGAAATAACATAATTATATGATTGTATGTCTACAAGACATATAACAGCCAAGTCACTTCATTATTACTTACTATATCCCGCGATTGCCTCCGAATTAAAAAAAAGCTAAGTAAGTCGCCTATATGTTTCCATTTTCTACATCTGTACAAAATTTCATCGAGACATGGTGAGCCGTTCTAGAGATACCTTCTAAAAATCATGTAATCGTGTATCTTTCGCATTTATAATATAGTAAGACTGAATATAACAAAAATAATAAGTTGCTGATCATATCCAGAGTTAGACTTAATTGTTGGAACAAAATCTTATATCCCCATAAATCCCTGAAAGGAAAACTCAGCAAAGGCTTTAACTATACATTCTCATAATATTGGGATCATTCTATACAAAAAATATACAGATTGCAACCAATAATTAATTGATTAATGCTTATATTCGGAACACGAGTCGAAAGATGTATTCCGGATTTGTTAAGATTTTGCACTACAGAGAACGGAAAGGACAAATATTCATAAATACAAATGAAAAATGCTTTCTTTTGACATTGTTTCTTTCAGAAAGGTAATAAATAGCAGAAATAATTAACTAAATACAATGTAAGTGTATAAAGAAAGAAAATAATACACATTGTATATGTATAATATTCATTGAAATAAAACATAAACAAATATCATTCGGTCATTTATTCTGAGTGAATGGCCGCAGCTCGGACCTCCTGCGGGTCTGTTGATAACTTTTAACGGTGCCTTCGAATGGAGAATATATATATGATTGAAATATTAAGAATGTATCAATTATTAAGTTGATTTTAATAAAGAAATGTACGTTTATAGAATCTTAACTGATCCTTTTCAAATGAAAATTTTGTTTAATGTTAACTTATCTTTGACAATCAAAATATATTGCAGAAAGAAGCTCTTAGTCTTAAGTAGGTAGGTATTTTAGTCAGACGCATGAATTAGACGTACGTAACGCCTGGCCGTTAGACGTCGCGTTACGGCCACGAGCAAACATAACGGTGATCGACTCGCACTTTCTCTGCTAAACGCTAATTACAACTATCAATAGCACGCGTGACACGTGACAGGATAGCGCAAGTCATTCATTCATGTAAGCTTGGTGATAGAACGAACTATCCCTACTTTTTCTATTTTATAGCCCAAATTCATTTGCCCCATTATGGGGTGCGAGAGATTTCTGTCATACATTAACGTAGGGAACAGTTTTCATTAGCCGTTAGGGCCCGCATGCAAGAGCCGTTTTCATTAGCCATTAGGGCCCGCATACGGGAATCGTTTTTTAGTGTTAGGGCCCTTATTTGTCGGGTAATAATACTTTATCGCGCATTTTACTCGTTATCTAATTTCCCGCACGACTCTTGCTTTATATCGACCGACGAATTTAATTAATAGTAAGTCGGTATACCGGGTTGCAGGTAATCACAGAGTTAAGGACTTATGAAACTGCGCCTTTAGCCGTGGGTTTCCGAGTCCAAAAATTCCCTTTGAAACAAATTTTAATGTCTATGTTATCGAAGATTTTTGCAATGAAAAACACAATATTTCCAGTAGTTTAATATTGAATAACAACTTTTCTTACATACTATTTACAAAATGAAAAACAGTCTCATACAACAAATGGCTGACAAAGATATTTAACATAATTATTTTTTTTTAACTGATGTTTTATACTTTTTAATGCAGTGTAAATAGAAATCTATAATAATATAAAGAAGATTGAGACTTTATGCCAATGAAGCAACCAAAAAATGTTTGTGAAGAAAATATTTTTTGCTTAGCAAAAGCAATTTATTATTTTTTTTTAATTTATTTTACGTTAGAATACGAAATAGCAACATTCATATAATATTTTTTTTACAATTGGACTTGAATTTTACAAACGTTTTTTATCTGTATATTAATATTATTTTACTTAATTATTTTTCATTTACATTTTTTTTCCTTAGTATAAATTGGAAAGCTCCGTTTTTAGTTTGTACGAATTCTATATTTAAAAAATTCTAACCTGTAATGTTAGTAATTAAAACATGTCAAAAAAATCACCTCAAGGGAAAAAACATTTTGCTGCCGGTAAGTTAAATTGACATATTTAGTATTTAAAGTTTACACAGTTTTTAACTAATATTATGTACTCGTAATATGCATATGAATTATTAGGGTTGTCACTTTACGATTTTTAATTAATTCTAGTTTCATTCTTGGGTCAATATTGTCAAATGTCAGAGAAAAAAAATGACTAAAGTAAATTACGTTGTCAAAGTATAAAAACTAAGTTAGTAGCAAGCAATTTTTTTTTATCCCATACAAAATATATTTTAACCGATAAGTATTTTGAAAGGAATTTAATCAAAGGAAAACAAAATCTTATTTCAATATTCATAGTAATTTTTAACCAGAAATCAAACTTATATCTACTACCCACTTTAATTTACACATTTCTAGAAATTAAAACAAACACAATCAACAGAACCTAATAACCCTCTCACCCGCTGTATCATTCCCCACTCACTCCTTCTTGCCCTGGTCGTGTTGTGGAATATTGCTATCATATTCCGCAGTCTGACCATTTCCTAATCCTACACCCTGTCTGTGAACCCAGGCTTAACCACAGTACGGAGTTATGGGTGAACAGCAACACACTTTTATATGGAAACTTTGCACAATTAGACATTTCCACTAATACAATATTTTCAACTACAACATAACAAAAATATAGGTTTTGATACTATTTCAAAGAGCTTGAAAACAATCATTTAGGAGGCTGAGTTATGAGCTACGCAGTGCCTTCTCCCGCGTCATTTAAACCCAGTAGTCATAGGTAAGTCAACTAAAATAGATGACCTGCAAATCAGCTATATATGTGTATGAAGTACATTAGTAAACAGATTCATAAGTCATTTTAATTTGTACCTGCATAGTTATTATTTGCGTTTCAAGCTGCGAACTGTGAGTCACTAGGCATGTCCCAGATTATTGGCTCAATTAATTATTATACATAGTGGTGAGCTGTGAGCTGCAAATATAGTTGTTAAGCCATAACTCAACTGTTCAAGTCTGGGACTTTAACTTTTGAACCAGTTTCATACATCTTTAACCCAGTTTTCTCTTACATGGCTTACAAAAATTTAACTAGAAAATGTCTAGTGCTTTAGTATAAACATGTTTAACATGAAAGTGGGTAGTAAATTAAAAATAACACTTGGGTTAGTCACCCCAAACTTTATACTGTTCATAATGATTGTCCATACAGTATCTTCGTTCGAAAAAAATGTACTTTAGTTTTTTTTTTATTTATCACACTTTCACAAAACACTGTCACTGTCTACTCCATTTCCATAGCATTCTTCATATATACATCTAGATCTCTATCAAGTGCTGACTTCGTGTTTGACATGTACTGGTCCAGCTGAGCGTCTAATTCTTCTTTTGTTGGTACTTTCTCATTCACTTGATTCCTTGTAACACTATCTGGAGATTAAAAACAACAATATATATATATATAGTACATTATTTACAGTCAAACATAAATAGTATTGACAAGTTCATATATAGTTGTAAATAATTGAAAACAGATCTATTAAAAAAATTAGGACCAGTAAGTGTATATTTCTTCATCTATATTTAAGTAAAATAAAAAGTAAATTTTACCTCTGCCTCGTCCGCGCATTCTTCGGCGGCCATTCTGTTTGCGTGCTTGAGTGCGGATCTGTGGCTTATTGGCCGTGAGACCCATACCTCTACCAAACTGCATTCCACCACCACTGGGGAAGAAACATAATACTGCATTCAATGTATTTTAATCCATTAAATATTAGCTAAAAATAAATTGGTCTTTTTCATATCAGAGTCAAAGTTACATATTCATCATCATCAGCTCACTATACGTCCCCATCGAGGGGCTCGGGAGCCTACCCTAAGTTACATATTAATTACAATAAAAATGTTTGCAGTATGAATACACTATACATAAGCTACAAGCTATTGTTATGCAATACCTGTGTCAAGTCTAGATAGGGAGGGTGCCCTGGGCGCTAGATACAAAGGAGCCTAATGACTCATAACCCTGTAAAGCCCTAGACAAATGGTAAAAATAGGGGATGCCTATATCTCACTCAGGATGCTGATAATATTAAAACCAGCACTGTTATGTAATTTTGTTATTTCATTATTTAACATATATAATTGTGGCAGTTAACATACTCAATATGTATTCCACATTAAAAAGTTTAACAATGCTACTATTTACCGTAACCTAGTTCTTGGCGTGCCAATGGTCCCGCCACGACGTTGGAGCACTTGACCGTACATGTTCCCTTGTGGTAGATTATTAAATGATGCGGAATTACTGAAAGTTTAATGAAATAGCATTTTTATAGAAAGATTGAACATTTCCGATAACATAGAGGCAGTTCTAAAACATTATCAAGAATGAATTCTGTTCAAAACTAAATAAGTTCAAGACATAAATGAAAATAAAATAAGAATAATTTAATGAATTAAAAATATTTTTACAGATTTAATAGAGCTATGTCTCCTGCACTAGAGGTACCTGTTGATACAGGAGACAGTGCCTTCTCTTATTTATTATCATGTGATACTAACTTTATGTATTATTTGTATGTTTGTTCTTTTTATTGTGGACAAAACCTTTAAGGGATAAATTGACAACTTTGTTTACCTTAAATTATTATTTGACTGTTGCCAAAATACTCTGTTTTTAATATTTTGATTCTGATTCAGACTGCTGAAGCTGTTTGCACGTCTCAGAGTGGGCAAGTTGTTCTCCCTGCCAAATTGCTGTCTTTGTATATTCAGTCTGAGACGTTGTTTTATAGCTTGCTGTGAAAATTAATTAAAAACAACAACATACAGAAAACAGCAGCGCTTTACGTTTGAAATTAGCACTTTTTAAATTTAACTTTCTTCTTTTTTTAAAGTAAGTACTAATTCATTTAAAAAATAACATAGTTATGGAGTAAAAGGCAAAGATAAAGAGCTGAATTGTATGAAGAATCAAATTATTATGGTTATCAAAGTAATCGGAGGTACTCTATTAAAATGTAAACAAAGACTTTACACTTATAAATAGGTGGATTTATTCTCTAACAAAAACTTATTATTTTAACATAACTAGTTAAACGTAACATAAAATTTAAAACAGTCGTAAAAAAAGATAAATCCCAGATTGAAGTAAAATTATAAGTTGTAAAAACTTACCCTTTTGGCTTGTTGTATCTTTCTAGCTATTTGTTCTATAAGGTCTCCATCGTTAAAGCTTAGGTTTTGATTTAAAATATTGCCAATGTTTCTTCGGGGCTGTGGATTCCGCGTACGTATTAAACGTTCTGGAACCACTGCTAGCATTGAGAAACGATCATTTAGACTTATATTCGTCGCATGTAATCCATACACTTTTTCAATGAACATTTTGTATGGTAGACAACACTCCAATACACAGGGTAATCAGTTGTTTACATAAGTAATTTCGCAAACAAAAATAAAATGTAAAAAAGGGTACTTTGAACTAAAATACTTATACTCCAGGTAGAAATACTATTTTTTACGACGCCGACCGCGCGAAATGCGAAACGAAAACACAATTTTGTAAATCATAGAATAAGTGACACATCTGTCACATTGATTATATTATCTGTGCGAACTTTCTAGTAAATTGAAAAGAGTAAGCAGGCCCTTGCACTTGGATTAAAATGATATTTGGATGATTAGAATGAGAAATGCCAATAATAAATAAAACATTACTTTGTTCAAGTTATTATACTTGGACTGTTGGATTTACACGAAGTTCTCCTTAGAACACTACCCTAAAGGCCATGCATATTGCCCTCATCTAGCACCTGCAGCCCTGACTATGTCTACCTTACAGGAGATCTTTTCGTTCATGGCGTTGATCTTCGAGTAATTTTTGGTATTAAATTTAGCCACTAAATATTTGAAATTAAATTATCGTGATAGTTTATTTTCAGCGATTTTATTGTATCACTCATCACTCTTGCATAATAACTTAAGCTGTCTAGTCATTCTGACATTGACATTTAACATTTTACTTTTGAAGACAGGAAGGCTGAAAACACGGAACTAGGTAATTTGCTATTCTAGTGAAATTAACCGCAAACCTGAATTAAAATACTGTCGGTTTAACCTCATAATCAAAGTTTCGGGCATTTGGTGCTGCAAGTTGACGTAATACGGAATTTTAGTAGCGTTGTTATTTGTTTATGCGGACTGTGGTGCAATCCACCGGTTACGATGTTGGTTTGCCTTATAAGCGAGCGCTGCGAAAGCGGGCCGCTCATTTCGATCAAACCTACGATGTCGGACGTTGACAACGGCTCCCCAGTCGACGAAGTTTGCTTGCTCGATATGGACGCTTGCTATGAAACTTTTGACAAAGATGGGTATGTGACCCTCACTTATGTCATCTTGTAAATGACACAATATCATGAAAGCATTCGAACTTCATTTACATTACAAACCATTACTAATTTTAATGTTTCAGCAATTGTTTTATACAGTTTTAAAAAAATTGTAGTTTCAATAACTTACTAGCTTACTACTTATTTAATCAGAGAAATATAAGCTGATCCCAATGAAAGAAAGCTTTAAAATAAAGGCTAAATTTCATACAATATACATTATTACAATTATTTATCAATATTTATTGTATTTGCTCAGTTTCACAAGTAAATAAATAAGTAAATGCCAGTGACATGCTTAAATTGTTCAAATAAAAACATAGAGCAACCTATTGCTTTTTCTTGGCTATTAAAAAAACTTTACAATAAAGCCTCTTTGTGAATTTATTTCTGTACAAAAATAATATTTTATTCCATAAATAAACTTATGTAAATAATAACATTAACTGAATACATTTATTGTTTTTGAATATCTCAGTTCATTTTCAAGTATATTTTTTACAGTAATCAATATTTATAGAATTTATTAAGGTTTAAATCATTTTAATGTTTTTATTATTCACCTTTTTATGTAGAATACAAACAGTCCATACCCAAGTCTGTGATATGTACATCACATTTCTAATAAATGGATATACTTGCCCATTAATATGATTCCATAGTTCTCTAATCTAAATTAAAAATGCAGGAAAACAATTTTTTTAACAACGATCCGGGCCTTTCAAGAGTAAGATATAGACATTTTCTAAATTACTGTATTACTTTAAATCTCTTCATTTAACATTTGATTAGATGGTGCGCGAGATAAATAAATAAAAGCTTTGTTGTGAATCTCATTTACATACAGTTTTAGAGCATTGGCTCCTGAACTATGTTACCCTATGTTTCAGGAGCTAACAAGAGTTACATTATTCTATTTAAATAGGTAAATGTAACGACTATTATATATATATAATATATACTAGTGGTCGCCTATTGGTCTCATAATAAGTTTATGGAGTTTCCTTTATTAACTTTTAATGTGTCAAATTTTACGTTCTTTACTGGACGTAGCACTAAAATTTGTGACAAGCTTCATCATATCGTATCGTTATTGACAAAACTTTTAAAGAAGTAAGTATTGATATAATTGACGATGAGGATATGAAGGTGTTTCTCGCAAATATTCGTGATAGGCCCACTGTTAAATTTCCTTTCGAAAGGTACAAAGTTTCGTTTCATAATTAATATGATCTGTTATACTATGTAGAGATGGGCAGTTGAATTTCGATGAGTTCCGTCTTATCTGCAAGGCGTTGTTCCGCAACGACAAGGGGCACATCTACCCTTTGCCGGAAGACAGAGCGCGGCATGTCTTCCAGATCTTCGACAAGAATGATGATGGCTTCATTGATAAAGAAGAGTTTACCTTTTGCTGGAACCATTGGATTAAAGTTGTAAGTATATTTAATAATGTAATATAATGGTTAAAGGTACTTAATCTGACGGACGTAGTTTTAATTCCCGCCATTCAACTATTGAAGTCCCAGAGGTTTTGAATTTGGAATCGTTAGAAATATTTCTAAGCTATTTTTTTTTTCATTTACTTACGTTGAAACTGGCTGTAAAGACTTCAAAAATTAGCTTATAATGTAAGCGAAAAAAGAGGAAAAACAAAAACTACTTTAAAGCTAAGACATAAAATATTAATTCTGCAAGATTTTTCCTACCATAAAACTGGTAAATTTTTGCAATATCATTTCAGTTTTATTAATTTAACGGCAATTTCACGATATCCCTGAATCTAAATGACTAACTTATATGTAAGCATGCATGCTTAAAGTTGCACCATTCTCCAGATCGTGCGTCCTGTGAGCGCATTCCTGGTGGTGGATGTGCAGAACGACTTCATCTCTGGCACCCTCAACATCAGCAAGTGCAACGCGCAGCAAGATGGCAGCGAGGTAAGAGATTTACAGGGTCAGGTACACTGTAGGGCAAAAGTTTAAGACCACCTAATATTAATAAAATAAATTAAACTGTTAAATCATCTAATAAATCCTTTTTGACAGTCAATATATTTGAAAGGCATAAAGAAATATTAACAGTTCGGCCATAACTAAAACAAGATCCTTTACTTACTGAAACATTTTTGTCTTGTCATTTTCTGCGCGTCTTCGACGTCTATATATGTATATATTTTTTTAAATATTTTCTGACAGACTAATCGCGATAGCGTCTCTTTCACGGTGCCTTGTTTGTTTCATTACACTTATTTTTGCTTGACTGATATGGCGAAATCAATATAAGAAAATTGGTTTATATGATTGCTAATTTGAATATCGCGAAGGCAGATATTTCGTGGTTTTTCCAATGTCATGATTTACCAACATATTTGGCCTTTTCTTTAAGCAATTACAATTGTGAATATATTTACGGCAGACGATTTGTCCAAAATCTAGTCTTTAGTCTTAATAAGATGACCTAGATTGATTTCGTATCGACCTAGATTGTCTACCGTTAAGTTGCCTATAAGGAAACTAATATCAGACGATTCTTTATTTAAATAACCAGTTTGTCAATGTTGCACTGAAGTAAAAAAGTTTAAGTTTTTCCTGCCGCTATAGTTGCATGTTTTTATGATTTTTTTTGCTAGAAAATATTAGCAGATTTTTTGTAAATTTACTAATATTTCTTTAACCATTCCAATTAAGCTCTAGGCTTGTGCTAGGATATGGTTAACGACAATAGTCGAATGGCGGAATTCGAACCCCCGACCTCGTGGTCGGAAATCCGTACCCTTAACCATTAGGCTATTGACGCTTCAAAAGTAACATATATTATATATATCTTACTAATATTATAAATGCGAATATTTTGATGGATGTTTGTTGGCAAAATGTAGAACATAGTATGGAAGAACTCATAGACTACAACTTAAGTTTTTTTTTTAAATTCAACGCGGATGGAGTCGCGGACAACAGCTAGTGTATTTATAATTGATAGTACGGTGTATAGTACTTATTAATTAATTGTTGACGTAAGTACACGCGCGAGTGGCTCGCCTATCAATCGATCAAACTTCCTCCTCTGATTACCGGCATACACGGAAACCCTTAGTTACCTGCGTATGTTTCAACTAAATTTTATATGTATATTACGCAGAGATTCAAATATAAAAGTTATAGAGTGGACATTACGAGCATTCTTTCGAATATTTTTAAAATAATTGCACATATTCGTCAGTACTTTTAGTCGCAAGTGTGAAGCGGGAGAACTCTACCAGTTTTTATAGCATACGATTTCTTTCGTAATGTCCTGTAATGTCTTCATTCGTATTGTCATTTTAAACATGACGTCACTAATATCGTGTCTATTTATGTAAGTTATTTTTAAAATCTACGTAACAATACGTTACACATATTTCATGCTTAAAACTTAAAGTCTGGAGATATTTTTCTAACTGCATAACCAACTTTTAGTTTGAATTTTTTGAATAACTGTCACCGCGAAAGGCCATACTTTTAGCTTAGTTCAAAAAGAAGGAGGTTATCAATTCGTCTGTATTTTAAGTGTGCCTTTTCTTTGTTCTATTGATGGTAAATTTAGTTTATAATTTCACTATACATATTATAATAGAAGACTATTCAACCACTGCATAACTACATAGATTGAATAATACACTTATGATGTAATCGCGGTGCACTCCCTGATATTTACAAGAAAACTAAAGCACCTATTAATCTTATATGCTGGTAGCTGGTATCTATAATATAAGAGAAATTAATCTTTCATAATTTCGCTTAACTCAATTGTTTTAAAACCTCCTTGGATACACTGATTTAATCAAATTACTGTCGCCCGAGAATCCGTCCGCGCGGAATTAAAAAAAGCCTTTGGGAGCGTCGGTGGCTCCGGATACAAGCACTTGACTTGCAATCTGCAGGTCCTGGGTTCGAATCCCCCCATGTATCGATGTTTTTTTCGATTTACGATTTACATTTATCCGACGTTCTTACAACGAAGGAAAACATCGTGATGCAACCTGCAGATGTCTGAGAAGAAATTCAAAGATATGTGTGAAGTCAACCAAACCGCACTTGGCCAGCGTGGTTGACTATGGCATAATAACCCTTAACTTAGTGTAGGCTCTTCTGGGTGTTCTTCGATAGTATTATATGTTCAACATCTATGCCCAATTTCAGCTATCCATACAGCAAAGCCGTAAACATTCGCATTTATAATATTATTAAAATGTGAAAAATTATATTGAATAGTAAAAAGAATTCGCAACTTTAACCATAAAAATATGACCATAAAAATAAGATATGAGTGAAGTAAACTATTAAATAACTTTGAAATATATAGAAGTTTGCATGCCGCTGAAAGCTTACAAAACTTTTCGAAAAAATTCCATAGGCTCGTGTTAATCTAAAAAAAAAACTCTAACTAGTAAATTATTTGAAGTCATTCCCTTGATATTTTTGTAGTATAATTGTAAAAATATTAAAAATGAACATTTCTTTGTCGTATCTGAAAAACCGTTGCCATTTTTTATTTCGTAAGCTTTGTGTAGGTATACATATGTTTTTTTTTTATATCATAAGGTGGCAAACGAGTGAGCGGCCACCTAAAATCGCTGATATAGCGAAGTGACCGTTGCCCATAGACATACGCAATTGCATACGCGTTGCCTACCTTTAATCAACGGAGGAGAGGATGCACAGAATGAAAATATTTTCCCCTTCCATGCATCCTCTCATCCGGAAAGTCCACTTCCACTTCCCATCCTTATCTTATGAGAAAAAGGGTGGGCAGGGAAAGAGGACTAAATTAGGCCTCCGGGACGCACACTCATCAGACTGCACGCGGAATTGCTTCCACTTGACGCCTGTCTTCTGTGTAGTCGTGGTATTTCACCGGGCGAGCCGGGCCGATTCGTGCGAAGATATTAAAGCGGGCTATACCACTGTTAACATAACATGATTATTATGCATAATGCTAAGATGTCATGGTGATGCTACAATATACTTTTTTATGTTGCAGTATATTTAGGGAAAATTCATATTTCCATTGTACATCATAAAACTTAATTTTCTTTTACCAATACAGACAGAATTGAAATTAGGTTCGCGTGCTTATTTAAGCCTAACTTAAAATCGGTAACTTGGCTAACTTTAACATTTCAAAAGTGCAATTAATCTTCGATGTTTTGGAACTAACCCAAGAGTTAAGTTTCGTGTTTAGTAAAGTTTCAATTACTTTCACAAATTGCTTTTGTACATTTCAAAATATTGAAATGACAGTTTTGGGTCGATCGAAAACCAATATATTTATATAATCACTTTAGATCTAGAATTAAATAATAAAACTGACAGACTTTTTTATATATAATTCCTTGGTTACTTAACTAAGTCATCTCTTCCCTATATTCGGTTTATTGCTAAACTTACATTTTTATAGTTTCCACTGTGAAAAACATGTTTACAAACATCGTCTAATTATTCGTACCTCATAAGAAAAAAACGTAACCCTTATAGCATCACTTTGTTGTCCGTCCGTCTGTTTGTCAAGACCCTTTTTTTCTATTTATTATTAAAGTAAAACGATGTGCTTACTGACACAGCTTTATTAGAACTAGAAAAGTACAGACTAAAAAAATATACCATAGACCAACTTGATTTGTTTTATAATTACAAAACTACTTTTATATTACAAGCGGAATGGCGCTAGTATTTATATATTAATAACATAAAATAGGATTTCGATATGAATAATAACACTATTTCTAACCATAACTTTTAGGTTTCGATTTAATACTGACATTATTTGAGAAACGCTTCATCATGTTTACTACGACCAATAATCCTACAATCGTGCAACAGTTAACTATAACCTAAATAATAGATCTAAAATAAAACTTAACTAGAATCTAAATTTAATCATGACTCCAATTTAAGTGACTGGTACTGACGAAACATTTGTCAAACGAATAAGCTATTAATATTGTTTTTTTTCTATTACATTACCATATCAAAACGAGCATTTTAGTTATACGAGAATGTCCTTGATTTTACCTAGACATAGATTCGAAGAGTGATTGGATTAATAAATTTATTTATGGTTATGTAAAACAAAATTGTAATATTTGTTTATCCGTTGACTTAGTAGCCTATATGTTTATCCAGGCTATGTTCTACATTTCAAATTTCATCGAGATTCATTTAAAGGCCGGCAACGCATCTGCGGTTCCTCTGGTATTGCTGATGTCCATGGGCATCGTTGAACACCTCGGTGTTCCCGCTGCTCGTTCGCCTCCTTCTGTTGTAAAAAAAAAGATGTTCTGGATATACATTATAAACATCCATCCATCCAAACACGCTTTCATAATATTAAGAAGTAAGATAGACTTTTCCTCTCAAAGTAATTTTGTCTTAAACTTAAGTAAATCACAATCAAATTAAGCAAACAAGTTTGAAGTACTTATAAACCGCATTTCCATTTGTGTGAAAATACAATAGCATTAAATTAACAAATGGTTTTACCGGCGCCCTTTGATGTTTAACCTTACAAGCGATAGCTAGCTATCAGCGGTTGTTGGCAATTATCACCACCGCGCCTGGCACCGCTCACACCCCAAACAACCCTCGCCGAGTGGCTAGATAGAGGGTTGTACCCCCTAATACCTTGTAATCTACACCCTTCGCGTTTTCACCGTCTGATAATAGTTTTCAGTGACTTCCATTAATATTTATAAACTTTGTAGACAAAATCTATCTATTTATAAATGTGGCCCATAACTGTTGCACCTTGAATATTCTATAGCTGTTTCATATATTTTTTTATCGAAATCTTCAAATGTGTGAGCTATTAAGTGGAGGCTAAGGCAGTCCCTTAACATACATTTAGTGTGATAAGTCTAAGCTAAGCGTTTATTTTACTAAACGTTAAAAGTCAGGAAGTGGCGGCAGTTAAATGTTACATTGTTAAAAGATTTTATTTCTATGTTCATACATGTTTATAGAATTGTACATTCGCAATAGGTTTGCGGTTGATTGACGTAGAATCGAGTCACAATGGCTATTGTTGCGAAATGAATAGCAAAATGTTTCAATGCTTTTTATTAAGTTACACTATAATTAATTAGTTATTTCTAGAAAATACACATATTTTTAATTTAGTTAAAATCTATTGCGTTAGTCTAACTAACCGTGGCTTTCTGATACAAAAATCTCTGTATAAAATGTATCGTATCGGCAATCCTCTTTCATCTCAGGTCTCAGAAACCCACTGTTAGTAGATATAAACTTGAATGACCTTTGCTTAAGTTACAAATGTACATAAATAAAGTATGTACATATGTTTGGTTGTATTATAATACAATAGTTACCGCTCTAATAGTCACATACAATCGTGTTTCGCTCGAATTAACATAATCCGAACTAGCTGTTGTCCGCGGGTTCGTCCGCGCGGAATAAAAAAAATTAGTAGCCGATGCGATCGTCTAGGCTATGTTCTATATCTATACTAAATTTCAGCGAGATCCATACAGTCGTTCTGGAACTTCTAACATACATCCATTTATCCATCCATCCAATCATTGCCTTTTGAAATATTAGTGAGAAGTAAGATATTGCCTACTTTCGTTCTCATTTTTTCCTGACAAAACACGGGATTTCACCCCTGTCTTGGGAGTAGTATTGCACCGGTCGAGCGAAGTGGTTAGTGCTGAGGAATCTACCACTAGTATATTTTTGCAGGTGGTTGAACCTATCAACCGTCTACTGGAAACAGTGCCGTTCGAGTGCGTGTTCTACTCACTGGACTGGCATCCGCCGGACCACGTATCCTTTATCGACAACGTGCATATGCGCGAGCTGCATGTCTCCAGTCCGGTGAGTAAACCTTCTCATATCCACTTTGTATTACTCAAATAGATGAAGACTGAGATTCAGCTTATTTATCTGGTGTTTACTAATAAGGGAGGGGGTCGACGATGTATCATATTGTTTGACAAGGGGTGAAGAGGGGTTTAAAATTTTGTGACAACACACTTTTTAAAAATATGAACATAAAATTGAAACTTCAAGCCTACTAAATAATAGTATAGTAAATTATTTAGCTTCGTGTGTGATGTGATAGAGTTGTGCAGGTGTCGGCTGACAAGGCGCAGGCGTATGACACGGTGGTGTTCGCGGGCCCGCCGCCCATGAAGCAGCGCCTGTGGCCCAGACACTGTGTGCAGGACTCCTGGGGCGCGGAGCTGCACAGGGACCTCAAGGTCAGTGCACATCACTACCACACATTGTTTAGTGTGTGGAAGGAACATAGATGAAGAGTTTAGTCTATGGTATAACCATCACCATATTTTGACACATTCTTCAATACTTGATTAGCCTAAGTAATCCTTTCAAAGCTTGGAAGTCTTGAATGGTATTTCCGGGTTCCAGGTGTTAGATGGTGCGGTGAAGGTGTACAAAGGCACCAACTCTGAGGTGGACTCGTACTCAGTGTTCTGGGACAACAAGAAGCTGACGGACACCAACTTGAGCATGCAGCTGCGCGCGCGCGGCGTCACCGACATATACATCTGTGGTCTCGCTTACGACGTCTGCGTCGGTACGCAATACAATATCAACTTACTTGCGATATACTTAAAAGTCATAATCGAGTAACTAGGATTTATACCTGGCTGCGTCCATAACGTCACTACGACGTCACTCGGTTTCAGTTTGAAACACTTCGTGTCAGGTCAGTTGTCAGGAGATGGGACATACAGGAATGAACGATGTCAGTTCTTCTTTTAATGTAAGGTATCTTCAGCTTTACAACTGTTTGAAGATGTCTATGGGCAGTGGTTACTTCGCTATTTGAGCGAAACTCTTGTTGCCATTTAACACCGTGTCTGATGTATGTAGGAGCGACGATAGCGGACGCGCTGGCGATTGGTTACCGCTCGGTGCTGGTGGACGACGCCAGCCGCGGAGTAGACCTCGCAGACATCGAGAAGACCAAAGCCACCATACTCACCAACCACGGGGTCATCGTTGACTCGGAACAGGTCAGTAATAATTCTACTTGTGGGTTGACATTCTCAAACATATCTCTTAATCTCGTTGAAAAAAATAATAATCGACCTATACTATGAAAAGACTTATTTTACTGACTACATACTTATTTTAAGTAGCCAAAGTATAGAAAGGACTTTTGCTAAATAGTCTTTCATAATCCAGGTGTTGGCAATGGTCGAGGGTCGTGACCGTCGACCTGAGTTAGGTTACAAACTGGCCATGGAACTGAAGCACGCCATGGAAGACCAGGATTAGATCCAGATCTTGTACCTCCACCAGTTCTAGATCCCAAGAAGTCACAAGCCATCTTTAGCATATCAGTTCCTATCCTCGGAGGGTTTTTTTAGTATGGCAACATTTTGTGTGATATAAGTTATATATTTTGAAAATAATCTGACTTTATATACGTTAATTATATACATTTGAAGCAGAATAAGTTAGCTTGAATTAATCAAATGGCGATACATTAAATGTTAAGCTTTTTCCTATTTAATAGATCTGATTATTTATTGTTTTACGTATAAAATTATTTATTTATTTGTGAAAATGTATAGATTTTAGTGACTGCATTTAATTTGGTCTTGATACTTAATATTTTTGACAATTTGAATGACATTAGGTTTGACCTCCGAGGAATATTTATTATTTATTTATTTATTGTTTCGTCTGCTGGACAGATTATTTTTAATCCTGTAATATTTATTTAATTAGAAAAACTAAATAAAATGCGTCAATGACAATACTTAGGAAAATATAAAATTGTCTGTGGTCGATTTTAGCTTAGATCCTAATTAGTATTAGGTGAATTTTTGCTGTTTGTATTTATTAGACAAAAGTACGAAGTTATGCACCTCGTGTGAAATATTTATAGTAATAGAGGTTTAGGTGAAGTTGGTAGTTTAGTTTGTGCAACATATCATTAGAACTGAATATCCTCAAATGGCATTCGTAAGGAATGTAAACACCATAGTGATTGGTTTATATAACTATCCAATTCTTCTATCCTTCAGTTAAACATTAAGGAAATAAAGGTTATTGGTACCTGCAGTAACTTTTTAAAACAATAAGAAATAAGTATCCGACTCGAAGGACCATAAACTGTTTAATTTTATTACTTACTACCAAAATAAATATTTTTAAATTATTTTTTATTTGTATTTGTGTTTAATATTCTGTTCTATATATAATGTGTGTTTAGGCCAGATTCATAAAAAATGTCTAATGAAAATTATATGTTTTTGGTAGTTTTCCCAACGTTTATATTTGGTTGACTGATCTTAAAAGTTATTTTATTATGTTATGTACCAGTGGTAAATTATATTCTCGAATCATGCAAAAGTGTCTATTGATCTACTGAATTTTAGACACAATAGTCCAATGAGTTAATATAATTTTAATGTATTTTAGTTCATTTTCACATTTTTATTATTATAAAAATAGAGAGTTGGATCAAATTTACTTTTAAAGTAGAAGAATTTTCAAAAACATGCAAATTTTTAATCGAGAAAATTGGATCAAAATTTTCTAATCTCGAATATTCGCGTAACGCTAGTTATATTGTTATGTATAAGATATATATGTACAAGTACTTAAATATTTAGCAAAGCAAAGCTTAGCACGACAAGCATTCCTTTTAGATCTAGAAATTAAATCTAGATGTCTAGGATATCTAAGATTTTATACGTAGGTACCTATTGTTTTAATTCACGTGAACTAGTTTGCAATAGAAAATATGTACTTAATATTAAATAATGTTCTTTCTTCTATTTATTAATATTTGACATTTTTTAAAGTTCCTTTTGTATAGTGACAATATTTTTTATTTCCATTTTTTTTTTATTTTCATCCAATAATTTCCATTTTTTTTTAAAGCAAAGATGTATTATGTAAAAATACTTGTTAAAACATGTTGTCTTTGTCTTAACAAAGTGTATTCAAGGAATAATATGTTTCAATACATGTATTTATGCAATGGAAATCCACAATAATGTTGACACCAAACTGTAGGTATTATGCCTTTTAGCATGTGATAGATTGCATTTCCTCTTTAGCTTATATGAATGCAGTAAATAAATATATGTAATTATAAAATGTGTTTTATTTATATAAATCAGACCTAACTCCCGCGAAAAATTATATTCGGCAGAGGAAGGGACGTATCCCCTGTTTATCAAAGGTAGGCAATGCGTCAAGTTGGAGATGTCTATTGACAGATTAGGTTCTCTATTTTAGCGAAATTAGGTGGTTAAAAAATGTTCCACCTTAACATAGTTATGGGGTTTGTGTTAATTTAAAAACCAATATGATAAGCAAACGAAATTTATTTTAAATAATAAATTTAAAATTCATCATTGTTTTAAATTATTTTACATACATGGATTATTCAATATCACAAACAATAAATACTGATTTAACTAAAAAACGCATTTTATGCTAAAAAGGGTAGGTAGAGTTTAGCATTACCCAGACTATTAGTTAAATCTGAGTTTCTAAAACTCAATATCATAAAACTTAGCAAAATTACTAAAAATAATATTAATTTGTGATGCGACACATTAAAAGCTCGTGATTAACTTGCATTTGACAGCAATATCCAACATCCGAAAAGCAATAATAATAAAATAGTGTAACAAAGCCTTTTTAGTGCAAATAATAATTTTAAAAAGACACCAAACGCATCTAGGAATAACACAACTTAGGAACTCAATGATATACTAAAAACTATAATTTTGATTAATATTATTATTTAGACTAAAATATGTGATAATTTTAATTTCATCTGTATTTTATATTATTTATTTGTAAAAAATACATAATCGAGATTTTACATAAAGAAAACAATATTAACATTGCAGGACGGTTTCATCATCACAAATATTACCCTTATGTTGTCTAAAGATACAAAATTATGAAAAAAAAGAAATTAAAATGTGTAAAAATAAGTAATAATTTAGTTTTTTTAACACATCTTTGCTTTGTGTTAGTGGCATTGAATGTGTTAAAACAATTTCGTTAAAAAATACATTGATGTAAATTACATTGTCAAAAATACATATTTATATTATCCTAGCCTCTATTTGAGCAATACAAAAGATTGTCTAAAACATTCAAACAATATATGATACTCAATACCCATTAATGGGCACTGATTGTGCAGCTGTAATCCGAGAAATGACTTCCCGACCTAGCTTCTGTGCAATAAAGTCTATAATCTTCATGACCAGCTCACGTCGGCTAGCTGCACATGACATCAACATCTCAAATGCCCACTTATAGTCATCAGGTGACAGTCTAGCCAAGAAATTCAAAATAATATAAAACAGCTCATTTAAATTTCTTTTAATAGAATCCCATACATCTCTCAGTGAGACAAGTCCTGGAAAATTAAAACAAAAACATTACAATCTATTGAAAAATTACATAGAAGTGTTAGACATCTAGTTCTTATCAAACCCATCCAATAAAAAAGGTATAAAGTGATGTAATATCAACAATTACAAAGGAAAAATATGTGGCTCAATTTTTAGTAAAGTCTATACCTACACTAGCTATTGCATGTGATGCTCCATCCATGCGCAATTAAAAAGAAACATAATTAGTAGCCTATGTGTTCTACATCTATGCCAAATTTCAGCCAGATTCATTCAACCATTTTTCGAAATACATCACTTCTACAAAATTCACACAAACATCCATTCATCCATCCATCAATCTAGACATTAGCATTTATAATTTTAGTAAGATAGTAATGTAAATAATTATAAAAACATAGGCAGTATATGTTAATGTTATACTTACTACTAGTAGCATATCCCGAGACGCCTCCAACACCAGCTCCGATGGCAGCACCTACTCTGCCCCCAGCGTACCCCCCCAACACACCCCCCACTAAGGCAAATGCTCCTGTCAATACTGCTGCATCAATGTCCCATGCTATACATATATCAAACTCATCCACTGAAATTATACCATCATTTATTATACTATCCATCTCTGTTCTGACTGTTTTGTTAACATGTTTTATAGTGATATTAAATGTAGTATTTTAATAGTAAGAGAATTATTGGAACACCAGTTTTTAATTTACACATTACAAAAATACAATTTTTATTCTGAGTTTGTGTACCAAAAAATGTTGATCACTGGTACACAAGCAATCGCTCTTATTCAATTAGTTAACTTATTAGTTTTAAGAAGAGAATGAGTGTATAGTGCAAGGATCAAGGCAATTTTTCTATTCCTAAGTGGAAAACTGCTTGACTGTATCTTGAATTAAATTATTTTAATGAAACCCGTGGTTGAATCTTATCAATCAGTTATTTCAAGGTCAACTGATACATGTGTAGGACCAATATTTTTTTGATAATTGACTCTGTTGTTATGCGCCAATTAAAATTTCAGAATGTGAATTTTGACTTACCCAGAAGCAAAATGATTTGCTCAATCCAACTGGAGTCTATACGAACTCCATTAGCAATAAATGGTTCCACTTCCATTGCAGATGTTATTTTTAGCGTTATTTGTCTATCCAAGCTCACTCTTGTGTAATTCGTAAATCCATAAATAGTCGTACAACGTAAGAACGTCGAATTATCTTGCGTCAAATAAAATGTTTATGGAAATATAATGTAATTATAAATAGCTTAAGGAGAGAATTAAATATTCACTAAAATCTGGTCAGAATATATATAAACGATGTTATTTTTACGTCACAGTGAATTAAAAAAGCACTATTTTGCAGTAAATTACATTTCACACATTTTATAATATATGTTTGTAATTACGATTTATGACAAGCAAATCAAATGCAAAGCGAAGTGCCAGGATGGCATCTGTCAGGTGGCCAGAGAGATTAAGTAAAACAGAAAAATAATAGTGGGGAAACTCCCTTTCAAAGTTATTTAATGCTGCCATTCAGTTACGAAATAAAGTAATGCCATACCAGTACAGTAGGACAATAGCGCCCAAAAGCATCGCTGGCATAAAACTGGTACAATGTAAAAAACTAACTGTCGCCAGTGAGCCTATACAGTGCCAGCCCAGCGCAACCAACCTACTTTACTAATATAATGTAAATCAGGCATTAACTAAAAATCTCTTGAAAACCATAAAAAAAGTCTTCCGGATTAGGTTACATACATCCGGAGCATATTTTAATTTTAATAAATTTTTGGAAATATACATATAATTATTTAAGTTAATGTGTATGTTTTTAAAATTAAAATAAGTAAAAAAGGGGGTATGTTTTGAATAAATAAACGGTATCAACCATTACTTTCTAAATATTCATTTTAATAAATACGTTATGTAAATAGCAGCGAGGAGTATGGAAAGCATAATATCAATATAGTGTAATAAAACAAAATCAAATAGTTAATAAATTAATTATGATATCGAAACACTTTATTTAAAACAAAAATTCATTCATAATTACAACTTATACAATAATACGAACTATTACATAAAACTTTCAGATTTCATACATTGCAGCAACAATTAAGAATGTCGTTTAAACTTCAGTACATATTTTTTAATATTTCAAATATCTGTCCAGTCATTATAAGTTGTAAAGAAGTAAGCAGTCGTCGTGGTTTCTACAAAATTCACAATTATAAAGTCATGTCTAAAGTAAATGTAGGTAAGTCAATTTTAAAATAACAGGAATATTGGCCTATAACGATAACATTAAGAGCAATACACAGTTTGATTGCTTCTCAGGAAACATGCTTCAATTAGAACATAATAGAATAGAAAAGAAGAGAAAGTAAGAAATAGAATAGTGGAAAAGAACTGGTTGAAATTTTGTAATCAACACAATGTAGGCGAGTTTCTTAGGCTGATGTTAAGCTAGATAAAATCTTCTGTCCCAAAGCGTTTGAAGATATTTGTAATATGAGCAAAGCCAGTTGTTTACTGCAACTGCCATTTTGAACTAAAAACATTGCAGCTTTTTTGTAATCGTCGAAACCTAGACCAGCTAGGTAGTCGTAAACCATGTCGAACACATCAGACAATTTCGACTTTATTTCATACCATACGTCTCTCATTGCAACAACTGGAACAATGCAAAAATATTAGTCGAAATAATTAGTTTCATTTTATGTACAATAGAAAATTGTAAGCAAAACTTCTAACACATATCATGGTGAAATTTCGTAAAAAATTAAATTTTTGCATGACAAAATGAGTTTCGTTCGTTTCTATCCTTAATGGGTCCGTAATGGATAGATGTTAGAATATTATTTTCGCTAATTAATGGTTTTTAAGAGTTTAACTGAAATCTTTACGCGAAAAAAATATATTGAGGGTAGTTTAAAAAAGTTTACAATATGTTTGATTTTTATTTTAATTACGTTTCCTTTTTAATTATGTCTTCAATTATAAATAAATTGTTCTACTTACTGACTAGCCCAACACCACAAGCGCCTCCAACGACTCCGCCTATAGCCGCGCCGGTTTTCCCGCCATAATGATTACCAAGTAAACTTCCAGCGACCGTCAATCCAGCGGTCACCATCAACGCTGCCTTAGCACGAGGACTTTTCCATAAAACGCGGAAATTGAATTGATCGCTAATTTTCAAGATTATGTTTTCCAAAGATGTAGGGTCGAACGGTAAAGCGCACGAATTTTGTCTTTCTATGGTGCACAGGTCGTAGTCAATTTCACCCTCGTCGTCTGAAGAATCAGAACTGCTGTATTTCCAGTCCATTTTTGCTTGAAACTACCTTGTAGCCCTTGGTTAAAATTTTAAATATTTATTTTATATAAAGATACTTGCCAACTACTCTGCACTATGTAGTGAATTTGAAATTTGAGTTTCGAATACCACAAAGACGAGTTCAGACATTAATTGGCAGATGGCATTGTTAAGGTGTTGCTATTATTATTTTTTTTCATTTTTTTTTACCAACTTGTAAATTAATACGAGACGAGACCGAGAGATAGATTGTAGTGTGTCCTTTAAGTATGCTTAGTTAATAATATTTTACATACATTTTAAAAATGTGCAAACAAAAATAATTTAATTGTTAATGCTTATTATTCTTTAACGTAACTGACTTTGAAAGAACAAGATTGCTCTTTGAGATCAGCTGAATGTTTGGCAGATTTGTTTTGATTCGTTTGTTGACTTTCGATTATAATTTGATAACTTCTCATGTAATCTAACACATTGTTTTATTATGTGAAAACCATGTCACAAAAAACTTTGATGAGCAGGCTCGGGAATAATATCCTAGAAGAGTCGCAGTTACTTGCCGAGAAAAAATGGATACTGGATGCACTAACGCAAATAAAAAAACAACGAAATAGTCTTCAGGTTTGTTTTAATCGGTTGTAAATGTATTAATACTAAGTTCCATCAGATTCTTCGAGTTTTTAAAGTTACTAAAAGTACTATTGTGTAAGCTGTCCGTGATAAAAAAAAATCTGTTGGTCAGTTATTTCGTTTTTATTTTAGTTTTCACCATAATTGTATTTAAATTAATCTTTTTGCAACAGATAGAAAGGCTACAACTAGAGAGCCTAAAGTATCACCTCAAGGGAGAGAAAAACTCTAACTTTGAGAGTAAAACTACAGTAGATGATAATGAACTGCCAACCACTTCTGCAGTGAATTTGATGCAATCAGCGCCGAAGGGCAACGGGATTGCGGACGCGGACAAGGATGGCCTCATGGATGAAGAGATCATTTGCAATGAACAGGAATTAGATTTGTTGATACTTTCCAACTGTTTATATGGTAAGTACAGACTACTTGGATGGTAAATACAGTAATGAGTGCAGCATGAAACAGCTGCAGCTGTCTTTTTAAATTAATACAGTGTGTATGTGTGGAAGTGGATTTGATGGACTAGGGTATGGATAGAAAGGGGGTAGATAGATTCTCTTGTGGGTTCCCTCCGTCATCAATTAAAGGTAGGCAATGCATCTGCAATTACTGGTGTCTATGGGTAGCAGTCACTTCGCATTTTCGGTGAATCCAGGAGACAGCTTGATTGTTTGCCACCTTATAATATAAAAAGTTGTAATTAAAAAACTTCCCCAATTTATTCGGAGTCCCAATGTTTGAGTTAACATGTATTTTTTGTCTACAGCTAATCAGAATGTCCAGAACAACATGGAGGAGGATGAAGATGATGAAGAAGACATAATTATTGACATGAACATGTTTATGAATGGTAATAATAACTGATCATAGATGGCGCTGAACATTTCATATGTTAAGAATATTAGAAACTACTGTTCCTATTCATTCCATATGTTTACCCTAGAATTGAGGAATACTTAAGATTTACCATAAGATTATATAGTTAGTTAGGAAGAGGATATGAAATAAAAACGAAAATTTATATTAACAAAGAATTTTAATAAATTTACCTTTTAAAGTAAGTATATTATACGTTTAAAGTATTAATTATGTACAAGCTTCATACAACAGTAGTCAACTAAATGTCTCTTCCTCATACAAAATAAATAATGCGTACCTTTACACATGGCAACCCAACCACAATAATGTTTTTACTGAAAACTATTTTTATTCACTAGCAACCCATAAAGAATATTTAAAATCCGACTAAAATGATATCACTTTGTGAAATAACTAATTGATGCACATAGAATTGATACATATTTTTGTATAAGTAAAAATGTGGGCAATGTTACCATGTGTTGCCTTCCTCGGACACTGACCATTCAATAACTAAATTTACATATGTTTATTGGAAGTGTTAAAATCTTATAATAAACTAATTAAGTTGTTTAAACAGTATATTTTAGGATGGTAATACCACTCATTATTCAGTCTTACGTCATCTCAAAAGTTCAATCTCGCTAAACTACACATTCACAAAATTATCTATACCACCAATATACACCCGCCGGTACGATGTACTCTCACCTACATAAATGTATTTTATACTATATCTCATAAATACATCTCCCTTCATCATCAGCTCACTATACGTCCCAACCGAGGGGCTCGGAGCCTACCCTAAGTTAAGGGTGATTAGGGCATATTCAACCACGCAGGCCCAGTGCGGGTTGGTTGACATATCCCTTAATACTATGTATTTATGGTCTAAAGCATACTGACGGATATTTGCAGACATATTTTTAAAACTGATTCCCATAGCCATAGACAAAATAAAAATGGAAAGTTTCATACAAGTTTCAAATTCTTATCATTTTTTATATCATAAGGTGGCAAACGAGCGAGCGGCCACTTGAAATCGCTGAATAGCGAAGTGACCGTTGCAAATTGCAATCGCAATTAAATTTGCGTTGCCTACTTTTAATGGACGGAGGAGATAGACAGACAGGGAATATTTTCCCGTCCCATGCATCTCCTCATCCGGAAAATCCAATTCTACTTCCCATCCTTTGCTCATAATAAAAAGGGGATTTATGAGAAGGGAAAGAGGATTAATTCTTATAGAGAGTAGATATTTAGAAAAGTAATTTTGTACTGTTATATTGCAACACAGATTTTTCCACAGAAAAAAGCCTCTGGAGACTTCTTGGTCATATGATGAAAGTGTATACAAGTTTTGTAAATGTATACTTTATGTAGGTGATTGTACAAAAAATATTGTTTTCATTGTTTTTGCAAGAAGAATGAAATGTTTTTGTACTCGTGTTCCGGCAGCGGAAATTGACGTCATTTAAATTAAATACTTGTTACATTCAAAGCTTATTTGTACAGCTTTATCTTTCCGTAGCTTTTATTGTATATACAGTTTAAAACAATTTAAAATAAAAATTCAGGTTTGTTTAGGTATAGTAAAGTATAGCGATTCATTCTTGACTTGAAATAAAATCTTTTTTCCATGAAACAACCGCCATCGAAGTTTTAAACGTTTCAAAAATCTACAACATATATAACCTTAAAACAAAATATATAAAAAAAAAACAAATACATATGAAAAAAAAACGAAAGTTCTCTTTTTGTACAGGTTTGGGGGCACACTGGTTTCTTGAAATTAATTTCAGATAAAAACTTATTAATAAAGTCGCGGCAGAAATTAACTAAATATAATATTCAAATAAAGTATGAATTATTTTGTGGTCAAATAAATAAATTACCTTTTTTCCATTAAGATTTTATACAGCGAAGTTCTTTCGTCAACTTTAAAACATCTAAGAAAAATGTACAAATAAAACATTTCTTTTTCAATTCAAAGTAAAATAAATCGGACCGATAGTTGAATGTTAGTGTGCGTTTCCACTAAACACTGAATATAATATAACAAAGTTTGTCTCAGCGATACTGCAGTGAAAACGCACCGTTAACAAAATGTAACAAACCTTATGTTTAACCTTACGTCTAAGTTAGGTTTTAGCATTTTATATGAATAATCACAACGAATTACATTTATATTTAATTTATACTTTTACATGAAGCATGTATCAACTAATTCAAATACATACAAATGTCCATACAAAAGCTTAAGTCGCGGTAAAAATAGATTACGTTGCGAAAGCGAATAGTAAATCATTTTATCCAATAATTCCTACTCAATATAAACCGTTCATATACAATCTGTGTCGAAATCTGACACTTTTATAAATATATTTCATTCATCAATAAATTAAAAAGGAAAAATAGAATCGTGTATTGAAGAGGAGCGATAGTATAGTGATGAATTAGCATGTTGTGGGCGGGGCGTCAGTGAGGGGGGCGTGTGCGGGGGCGGGGCATCAGGAGCGCGCACAGGAGGTGTAGAACAGTATGTAGGCGGCGCTGGACTTCACCTCGCTGGCGGGGATCTCCGTCACCACGTGGTCGTCGTATTTGTACCATCTGGAACACAATACAAACATTATGGTTATTGAAGGAAACCTAAGTATTGTCGACTTATCTTGAAAGTGTATCAAAATGGTAATAACACGTAACGTACATTTTACATTTCTCTTGCTAATATTATAAATGCGAATGTTTGGATGTATGATAGAAATTATCTCTAGAACGGCTTTTATGAAATTTGGCATAAATGTAGACATAGTCTGGAAGAACTTATAGGCTGCTTACGAAGTTGCAGGCGACAGTTAGTGACTTTGTTAATAGGGAACCATGCTTAACAGCACTGTCGCTTGACTCCCACTGCTGGGCGTGGGCCAAAGTTCTCCACGATGATAGGACCATGGGGATATAGAAAGCGAGGAGAAACTGACTTTCCGTAGACGCTGCTCTTGCAGTAGGCGGTGTAGTGTCCGCCCTCCATGGAGCCGTAGTGGTTGGAGACGGCGTACAGGTTGTACATGGGGTTGCCGGGGCAGTGCAGCGAGAACTGGCTCATGTCCAGCTCCTCCAGCGGGAAGTCGATGTACGTCTGCTTCTTGCGGTACGTGTTGCTCATGTACTCCTTGGGGTCCACGTAGAACCGCTTGAAGTGGATCACCAGCACCGGCGGCAGGCGGGAGATGTCCAGTTTCTTCACCGCGTCCCGCTTCTCCTTGCACTTGGGGCAGTTCCAGCCCGGTATCGTCTCGTCCTTCAGGTACAGATTTAAGCAGTCCTAAAAAAAAACAATATAAAATAAAATTTTAAAAGCACATTCATACCTTTGACACTTGTCCACCACATTGTCTTAATAGTCAAACTCTATCGTTTGTTACCCATACTGCCATCTTGGATTTTTATATTCAGATAGTAGAGTGCAGTGTACTAGTGAAGCAGTTTAATTAGTGACCTGCAGCGTGCAGCGCGCGGCGGCAGCCGGCAGCTCCAGGGAGAGGTTGGAGAAGGAGTCGTATGTGGCGGAGCGCTCGGCGCAGCGCACGCACCGCACCGTCGACCTGATCTGCCCGTAGAACAGCCGCAGCACCAGGCTCTCCTTGCACCGCGTGTACTCGTGCCACGCGCGCTCCGCCGCCGGCAGACCCTCCTGCACGCACACGTTCTAAATTAAAGGCATTCAAATTAAGCGGCCGAGTCGTGAGGTGGTGAGAGGGGGCGGGGGTGTACCTTCTGCGGCGGCTTGATGGCGAACTGCAGGTCTAGATGCAGCCAGTCCATGAGGATGGTGAGGAACTCGTGCGAGTCTTGCTGCTCGCCGCCGCGGAACGCGCGCTGGTGCTTGCCCACCTCGTTCTGCGACAAAAATACACATTAACCGAGAGTTTCCACCGCCCATACATACATCCTTACAAACAGTTTGGTATGTTACCCTGAGGTCCTTGGTGGCGATGAAGCGGTACTGTCCGGACCAGAGCGCGCGCACCACCGCCGCCAACTCCTCCGCGATGGCACCGCGCGTGCTGTGCGACCTACAGTACAGTACAGTACAGTACAGTACACATTCACTAACAATTACATTTACACATAATAAATGTCAGATAATGGCTGAAAACAAAAGCTACATTTTGAACAAATATTCAAAAATTCGATTTTAATAGAATAAGGTTTATACTTAGCAGTGATCTGATACAGGCTGATTATTTTAAGCAACTTTCTACCAAATTAGCTCCTGTACTATACCTGTTGACATGTTCGAGGTACTGTCCATTGCAGAAGTATGTGACGAGTATGGCGGTGTTGTTGAGGCACTGGATGATGGAGTTCATGTAGCAAGTGTTACCAAGATTCTTTAGACCCGTCAAGCCGCGACCCTGAGGAGACAACAATGTTTTTATATCAATAACATCCTGTATTTTCAAGAATCGTGTTGTAAAGTAGTGTAGTGGGTAAGGGCGGACAGCCGCCGTGATATTTGAAAAATACTATAGCAATCATTACGAGTGGTCTCCTTAACAAGTTCCATGTCACTGGCGATTTCTTCTTTTTAAATTGAAGTCGCCGCGCAAGTTGGTGTCAGTGAAGGTGTTTAAACAGTCATTAAAAACTTTAAGCATAAAAAAAATAATTTATAACAGTAAGGAAAAGTTTAATATATTCTAAATATTAATGTCCACATTAAAAAATATAGTATTATGAAAAAAAAAAACATAGATATGAAGACAAACAAAATACTAATTTTGTACTACATTTAAGTAAGAAAAAAGATAGACCTGAAGAGCTTTGTTAATGTGTATACTCAGTTTCCCTGTTAAGATATCCGGTAGACTGACGCATAAATACGTCGAGTAACAACAGTTAATGTAATCATGTAATTAATTAATTTATCTAAGATTAGAAGTGCACGTAATGAGCTTTGTTCCAATGCAACTGACTATTTATAGTTAATACTTATTCATACTTATATCATTTGAAATTATTGTATAATACTACTTATATAGGAATTAATGCAATCGTAACGTAATTAACATAAATTAAAAATCGCACACTGGTTTCGTTTTGAAATCTTACTAATATAATATTATAAATGGGAAAGTTTAGATTCTAAATATTAATGTTCGTATTGTACGGATCTGAATGTTGGGCCACCAAGGTTTCGGATGAAAGAAGATTGCATGTAGCTGAAATGCGTATGCTAAGATGGATGTGTGGTGTGACAAGGAAGGATAAAGTTAAAAATGTGTATATTAGAGGAAGTTTGAAAGTAGCGCCAGTGATCGAGAAATTGAGGAGTAAAAGATTAGCGTGGTTTGGACATGTTATGAGGAGGGATGATGATGATATAAGCAAAAAAGTAATGAGATTGAATGTGGATGGCTACAAGGGTAGAGGAAGACCAAAAAAAGTATGGAATGACTGTGTGAAAGAGGATATGCGTAAGAAGGGGGTAGACTCGGATATGACGGCTGATAGAGATGTATGGAGGAGTAGTACATGCTGTGCCGACCCTCGATAGGGATAAGGGCAGGTTGATGGGAAAGTTTAGATGGATGGATGAAAGTTTGAAGGTATCTCCGGAACGTCTCAACGAGTTTTGATAAAATTTGATACACATGTAGAACATAGTCTGAAAGAACACGTAGGCTTCTTTTGAGTTGTTTTTTCATTCCGCGCGGACGGAGTCACGGGCGACAGCTAGTTCTTAATATTTCATGACATTGCCATGAAAAGACAAAAAGACAAACTATTCACAATTTTATTATAAGCTGCATGGATCTCGCTGATATTTGGCATAGATGTAGAACATAGTCTGAAAGAATACATGAACTACTAATTAAGATTTTTTTGTCAGCTAGTGGCATAAATCGCAAAAGGAGTTTATGCGTTTGTATGTTTTTGATGCATACATTTTAAAATCTCCTATATTTTCATGTCTGTGTTGTGTTTCTGTAATGGAAACGCACGATGAAACATACCCGTTTGAATAGCCAGACGATGTGGTTGTGCGAGTACTTGAGCCTCACTTTGACCTTTAGCACCATGTTAGCTGTGTCCAGAGGAATACATCTTTGTTCGTAGCGGAGAATCTTGATTGTTACTACTGCCGTCTTTTAAGTCTTTGTTTCTTTTGTTCGGTTCTTTGTAAATTTTCTTTATTACTTGGTTTTAATTCTGCTTATAATTTAGCTTTTTTGTGTTAATTACTTTATTCTTTTAATTGTATTTTATTTTGATTGCGACAATTTTTGATATGTATTTAATGTTAAATCTAATCTTCTGCACAAATTAATAAGTAATTTATTTTATTTTTTCTTTTAATATTTGTATAATATATAATAATCTTGAGACAATATTATGTCGGTAATTTTCCACAAACGTTTGAAAACACAAATTCACAATTTGAATGGAATAACGCGAAATTTCAAGGACGTTATGACTTTATACATCAAACCCAATGTGTTTCCTTGTATTTAGACAGAGGAAAGACAAGCACGAGTAAGACGATCAGGTACAGCATAAATACAGTTGAAATAACTGACGCGATCATTTGTTTTTGTTTTTTTTTTATTTTTTTTAAAGTAGACACAGGCTGTTAGTTCAGCCACAACACACGACTGAAGGTTTCGTGTCGGTCCGAGAGGGAGGTAAGGGGGTGTCGGGTTGGGGGTGGTGTTAGGGTGACTACGTGTACACGCGATATTTTTCAAGTGTCATTATTATTTGCATGTTGACGTGGAATAAAATTAGAATTAGTACTTTTTACGTTATTGCACATTTTACGAGTAAGTGGCTAGTTTTTAATCATGTCGCAAAATTTTAGTTTTTTACTTTAGTATTTCTTGCTTAGTGATAGGTTTTACATTTTTTTAACTTTTTCATTTCATTTATCGCTCAGTGAATACATATTTTTTCAGCTTACATCAGATTAAAAGTTCTTTCTAATACAACATACCATCCATTACACTTTTTGCCCACAGCTAGTGTCGTCCTATTCAAAATATCTTATGTGTTTCATGTAAGGAAAATTCATCCCTCCATTCTTTGTCTTCTCGGATGGTCAATTTACCAGGTGAGAATAGCCTATCTTACGAGTTACGATATCATTAGATTGATTGCTCCTGCCTACACTTGAACGGCGTTAACTTACTATGCACACCCTTGAGACTTTTTCCTTTGAAGTAAGTTTTTACAAAGTTTTCACTGTCTAAAAAACATTTGGAAATATAATTATTCTCTGATATTTCCACGAGTATGAGAGGGACAACTATATATTTATTTGTTTCAACACTGAAAACTGTTAAATTGAATTAAGAAGTTTATAACGTTATCCGTCTTTTGTTACTTTGGATATCTTTTGTCTTAATGATTCTTAAAAGGTTATCGAAGTCAAAGGTTATGTAATATTGTCTCCATGACCACTAGACAGGGTGTGGCGAAGAAATCGTATTGATATTATCCCTAACAGCAGGGGACGGTATCGGTCAGACGGCAAATGTGACGGAGTACACACCCATATTTATGTGCCAAAAGTACGCTGGTTAGGGAAATCTGAAGCTAAAGTAAGCCATTTTTTCGTGTATAATTAATGATTTACTAATAGCGCTACTGTTATCGGGCCAGATATGTTAGTAGGACTATACTGTAGTAAGTAGTACAAATAGTAGGGCCTTTTAAATATACCTAGATAAAGCTATTTTAAGGGTGCTGCGAAAATTTATGATTTAAAATCATTAATCAAGAATCAAGACTATTTGTTAAAGGTCAAGTTAACTAAGTTGAGTTAAGTTAAGTAGAGGTCAAGAGTGTAGTTTGATAGATGTGGTGTAGATCCGCCCAGATGGCGCAGCCTTGGGTACCTGACCTTTACACCATTGCGTGTCCAAGCCCGTCAGGTAAGATTTATACAAAGATGCAGCCTGAAATATCAGCTGCTTTTTGCTTTTTATTTATGAATAGCTATCTCCCGCGACTATGTCCGTTAAAAAAAAAAACTAAATAAGTATTCTATGTGTTCTTCCAGGCTATGTTCTACATCTACGCCAAATTTCGTCAAAATCAAAGCGGTTCCGGAGATACCCTCTAACAAACATCCATCCATCCATTCTAACATTCGCGTATATAATATTAATAAAAAGTAACATTAACCGAGTTTTAGCGATAATGAATAGTTTGTCTATGGTGAAAATTCTTGCAAAATAAATTCGCTATTTATTATTCATTTTCTTTAATACTATATAAATATTCTCGAATACAAGTCAAAAAAAAATTGTAAATAGCAGAGTTGGCGTGCTAGTAACCGCTTAAAGCGTTTTTTATGCGCAGTTATTTCTTCAGCTCGGACTTAATCTTATAAGCTTGTACTAAAGTACTTTTGGACTTTGATATAACTCTATTGTTATTAAGAATAATGTGAAAACTTTACTTATATTTGTGAAAATCTGCGCTACGAAATACTTTAAGAATGTCGCCTTGACAAATGTGAAAGAAAAAAAAAAGTCTATTTTTATCAAAGACAAAAGAGGGATGGTTATATAGGTATTCGCCATGACAACACCAATTAGGAAATTTAAGTTTAACCGTTGATTTCTGAGACTAACATCTCTGTATAACACGTATCGTCATCCTTGTCATTATCTTTGATAAAACAGTGATAACAATATGCTTTAAACGGTTATTTTGGTCTTTGGAAACCTACGGTAAATAAGTCAAGGTCCAAGTAAGTCCTGAATATGCTATTTATATTTGGTACTTATTTGTTAAAGTCCTACGTGTTTCACAATCTCCAAATAAGCTTTGAAATGAAAAAAACTAAACAAGTAAATTTTGCCAGGAAGTATATGTCAAATAATTAATTTTGTTACTTATCTCGTATTTTACTTGGATACTTTAACTTTTTTTTTTAGTTCGTTATAATTTTTATAAATTCAATATTGTATTATACTATATTAGTGTAACTTATTCACTTAGTTCAAGTTCAGTAATATCTCCGCAATGTTTGCTGACGCTACGAGCCGCCTCACGTGACAACGCACGCGCCGATATCGATTGTATTATAATACTAATCAGTACAGACTGCAGAACAGAACGTGTTTATAATTCTATTTTAATTTATTTATTTTTTATTTACATACTTCAATAGAAATGTTTTAACATTTAATTTTTTTGTTTAAGTTTTTTCTGTCGACCTGTTTAATCCTTTAATTATATTAAAACATTCAGGATTTTACATTACCTAGTTCAAAGTTGAAGTTTTTAAGTACGAATAATAACTTGCACATTTTAATTAAAGCAAAAAATAATAACTTACTACATCACTGTTTTATTTATATTATGTATGTATGTACGTATGTATATATGTATGTAAACTTTGTCCTGGGGTGATGCAGCCACTTGATGTCAATTGCTCATCACTCCCCCTGTCTTTTACAAAAAGAATTGGATTCTTGAACACGTTCGGTCGACTAGGCCATTTTGTAAAGAATTTCTCCGCAACTCTTTGCGTAGTTAAATAAAGTTAGCAATTAGTTTCTTTCCTTACATAAAGATTTAAAATATTCCAATGGTATGCATCATTATTTTTATTTCAACTAGCTGTCGCCCGCGACTTCGTTTAATCCCAATGTATAGTGACTCTTCGAAGAATTCTTTTGAGGATTTTATTGTTTGTTTCCATTGAATATGCTCCGACATTGAACTGAAAAATTCTTCCACTGTTTGGAAGCTACTACCTCCGGGTGCTAGGTGCATTTATTACTAGATCTTTTAAATTGCGCGCAAACGAAGTCGCAGGTAAATATTATACATAATAATCTTGCTTAGGTTATACTTTTTGAGTTGAAAACTTGACTTTGTTATTATAAAATGAACGGAACTTTAGTGATACTATAATTTCTTGACCTTCAAAGGAATTACGATTTAAAAGATATTTTAAATAAGATTAGATAGTCACGTGTGGTCGGATGTGGACCCAAAAGCGTGCGAAGCCCCAACTGTCTGTAGCCGAATGTTGACACCACGTGTGATATCACGCGCACCACTCCGGCTTCGTATCATGATGACACGTGGATATAACATCACATTTCTCTATCTTGTGTAAACAATTCATTCAATGCTTTTTAGTCGTAAACAAAGCCTAAGTCACAAATTATAATTTACGCTAAAACTAGTAAATCATAATACTATAACTATCTTACTAATATTATAAATGCGAATGTTTAGATCAGTGGTTCCCAAACTTATTTTGTCTACTGCCCACTTTGACAATAAATATTCTTTTAGCGCTGCCATATTTTCACATATTTAAAAACAACTATAACTTCAAATTAAATTATTTAAGTATTGTGACCTATATATTTTTTTTGAAACGTTTTACTATAACCGGCAACTTGAGACTTGCAGCGCCCACAAGGGGGCGTTATCGCTTTGGGAAAGACTGGTTTAGATGGATGGATGGATGTTTGTATTTCCGAAACGGTTGAACAGATCTCGATTAAATTTATCACAGATAGATTCATAGTCGGGAATGACACATATGCCACTAATTAAGTATTTTTAAATTCCGCACGGACGGAGTCATGGGCGACGGCTAGTTATAAATTACTTCTAGTATTTTTTTATACAAAACTGTATAGCATTAGCTATCTCTTTTTTTACTATATTACTCAAGTTTATTTAACTAAAATGGAATATCGTAATGGCCGCCACATTTACGTGCTTTTATTAAATAATATATAACATATTTAAAAGGGTTTTTTTTTTAAATTTATTTATTGTGAATTTGTATCGAAATATGTCCGTATATACATTTATATAGAGACCGATTGTAAAGAGTAAATGATTGGAATAGTATTCTTGCCGGATTATTAGGTTCATTGTCAAATCAAACGAACGCCTGTTGTTATATTTGACAAATCATTGAAATATGAACGACGTATTGAAATGTTTTAGTTACATGTACTCACCACATTTCCCCAGACAGGCTGGAAGTCTCTCTGCTGCATTTCACTAGAGGGCGCCATCTTGTGCGGCTTCGTGCTGCGGTCAAACGCCGGCGCGGGCGTCTCCTCCTCCTCCTCGTCCGACACCTGCTGCAAGTGTATCTAATGTTAAAAGTGACACTTTTAAATACACTTGTGACTATAAGTGTACACATTTGTGATTATAAGTGTACACACTTTTGACTGTAAGTGTACACACTTTTGACTCTAAGCGTACACACTTGTGATAGAATAGACACTTGTGATTTAAAGTGTATTCCATTATAATTATAGATATACACACTTAGAGACTCAAAATGACTTAAACATGTATTCATAATATTACTAAAGTGTAGACATTTAACTAAAAAATAACGTTATAAACAAAAAAATATGAACAAACCTTTGGTATGTTGGGCGAGGACTGAGAGCGGTTGATGCCGGGGACTTCGACCGTGTCCTCCGGGGGCTCCATGAACGTGTCGCCATCGTCATCCTGACACACACGCAACAACACAAATAACTTTTTAATCTCATTAACACTCATACAATACTGGATTCATTTGATGCAAGAATAATTTGGAAGAACTATAGTGAACCAAAATGTCATTAAAAATTCCTGAGATATTGAGGTACAGGTAATTGACCTGGGGCTTCCTGCGCGTGCGCGCCTCGGTGAGCTTGCGCTTGCGCTCGGTCTCGAGCAGCTCGCGGCGGCGGTCGAGGTGTTGCCTGGCGGCGCGCACCTCCGCGATGTGCGCGCGCCGGGCGCTCAGCTCCCGCAGCGCCGCGCAGCTCGCCTCCTGGCGCGCCATCGCAGCTGTCACACCACACACAAACATATCAAACAAACCAATATATCACAATGCTCATTTTTGGATCACACTTTTATCATGAATCAACTCCTGAGGTTGCAAGTTCCATGAATAAATTAAATTCATGTAATGTATAGGTTAATCCAGAATATAAAGAAGCAGGATTGGTGACGCGTCAATCGCCTTACTAATCACACCACTCCCTTATAAGAGTAGTTGTGTTCCACATTTTCTAAGCTTTGGCAAGGTTTTTTATATGCACGGTGAAGCTATACTATGTATCATATTATAGTAGTAACCCTGTGCGTCAGCGTCGCTGGCGGACTGCTCGGCTGCGCGCGCGATGCTCTCCGCCAGCCGCTCAGCCTCCTCGCGCTCCCGCCGCTGGTACTCCTCCAGCTGCTCCCGGAGACGTTGGTTCTCTTGCTCCTGTACCATACGTACATAATTACATACACAAGCTCTTGGACCCTGACATCTAGAAATGTTCCAGCAGTGGAGAGGTGCTCACCATGTCAAACTGCTTGTTCTCAAGCTGCATGAGGAGCGAGGAGATCTCCTGCTGGCGCAGCTGGTACATGGCGCGCAGATCCTCGCGCTGTGCCGCCTCGCGCTGCTCGCGCACCTTCTCCCAGTCCTTCAGAGAATAGAACAGAAGAGAACTTCAGTACTAGATCATTTGTCATAAGACATAGAATATTTATTCCTTCAGATAAGAATATGTTTCAAGGTCACATTTGTATTTGTGTAGGTGTTGACGAAAAACTAATTTTTAAAATGTTTGTTTGTCTGTATGTCTGTCCACAAGAGACTTGGATGGGAGGGTGGCTGAAGCACGCACATGTTATATTTTAGGCTACTTTTATTTTTTTTATTTTGCGCTGGCGAAGTGACGGGTGACCGCTGGTGTTGAGAAAGTTGAGTTTTCCAGTGTTGTTTAAGAAAAAGTTTTGAAGAGTATACCTGTTCAGCCTCGATCCTCTGCATCTCGAGGGTGAGGGAGGTGTCAGCGATGCGCTGCTGCTCCTCCAGGATGAGCTGCATGTTGCGCGCGCGCTCCTCGTACAGCTGCACTGCTGCCATCTATACGTACATCAAACAAATTACGTAAACTGGCTTTAACACCTTGTATTATGTGCCTATTTGATTTTCGCCATTTTGGCGCTGATGGTAGCGGTGGTGTGTATTGGAACTAATGCCATAAATAAAATTACCTGTCACGTAACATCAGAACAGACACCACAACAATCAAATAGGCACAAAACATTACGACTTATGGCCTAACACTTTAAGTGTCACCCACTTGCAAGTTTACTTTAACATAAAACATTGTGTTTACGTTTTATATAAGGAAGAGAAATATTTACTTTACTAGTACGATCAACGACGGGCTCCCCCGGCTTAGCGGCGCGCTGCGGGGCGGGGGCCTGCTGCGCCGGCGGGGACGGCGGCACCACGTCTGACCAGCTCGGGTACTCTATCTCACCTACAATACATCAAAATTATTTAAAAAAAAACTTTGAGTGAACTGAACTATGACGAAATATTACTATAAAATTTAGTCATATCTCTTAAAAAAAATACAGTCCAACCTGGATAAGTGGGTCAGTAAGGTCTTGACGAACGACCACTACAAGTGAGAAAACCAGATAAGTGAGATACCTCCATAAGTGAATACTTATCAAAGTGTGTGTATATGTAATTATTGTCTATTGTCTATGAGCACATACCTAACATATCATCAAGCATGCTGTTCTGACTGGGCGGTACAGCGAGGTGATTGGTGGTGAAGGCCGGGTACTTCAGCAGCCAGTCCTCATAGCCACCCAGCAATGCTAGCGGCTGACGAGCGTATTGGACTTTTATGTCCCACTGCAAATAATGTTCCGTTTAGAGTATGCCACACAAAAGGTTAAGAATGCAAAAATTGGTTAACATGAGAAAAATATATTTACATACTTAGTAAATCTATACTTTTCACAGATTTTTAGTAACAATTAGAAGTCACTTTATATATTTAGTGTTTTTTTACAGCCATTATGGTCTTTAATCTGAATTAGATGTCATGAAAATTATTAAAGACTGTATAATTTCTTGTTATATCCATAAAGATGTTAATTTCATTTGTATGTTGTACCTTCAGCAGTATAGTCTTAAGCAGATGCAGCGTCTTCCCAGGTATGACGGCTGTGCTACTCCAGTCCAGCATCACAATCAGTTCCATAGCAGCCCGCTCCGACCACACCGCTCGGGATGCTGATGGCAGATTCTGTTCTAGAACATTTGCTGATTGCCTACAAAAAAATTGTACATTCACATTGTCACTTTTATATATTGAATATTCACAATGTTTTTTTAATTTCATATTAATTAAATTATTCCGAATAACTATTTTTACACAATATATACACTAAAAAATATTAAAAAACAGACAAAGCATGAGTAAAACATTCTATTGGTTAAGGTTCATTTCTATAGGTCAAGTCATATGATAAATAAAAAAAATCTTTTTATTTTCAAAAATCTAAAACAAACTTATGAATTTAAAAAGCTTTACTTGTTGCTTGAAATAAATATATTTATAAAACAAACTGAGTATTAGACGCTAGCTATTGCCCGCGACTCCGTCCGCGTGGAATGAAAAAAAAACTTAGTTCCAGGCAAATATTCGAATTTTTCTCACATTTTAAACCTTCTCTTAACCTTCACGAACATTTCAAGACCTAGATAAGATAGATTCAGCCATTCTCGAGTTTTCACGAGACTAACAAACAGGAATTGATTTACATATTAGACATTAAAATAATGTGATCATATCCTACCCTGGTGATATACATTCTTCAGGAATACTAATACAGGCAGGGTAATTGATGTGAGATTCCAAATAGTCCTTCCCCGGACGAGCATCAAGGATCATCACTTTCAGTTTCCCGCTCTTCAGGATTGAATATAGCTGCTCACTTTTTATTGTCACTTCATCTGGTCCTAAAAGTATAACACATATAAGAGGGGCTAGACATTGTAACGTACCAATATCTCTATTCTTAGTAGAATCGACAAAATGTGTCAAAATGTATAGGAAAAATATGTTGAAATACAGAAAGTTATCGTTACTTTTATACATTTTATTGAATAGCCCTCAAAGCTTCAGGGCAATATATAGCAGATGATTGTCACACCTAATGACTATGCATATAAAATTATAAAAATCAGTCAAGCTGTTACGGAGTAGTATGGTAACTAACATTGTGAATCAAGAACTTTATATATAGGATTATTGTTGTTTTGTACTTTATCTCCTTACATATAATTTAACCATTTAGTACTGCTGTCTTATCATCTGTACAAAAATACATGTCTTTATCTTTGTTTTTACACGGAGAACGAGTAGAATCATGGTTAAAGACAAAAGCCTGGACTAATTTATTTGGCTACTAGTTTTTTTGAGTAGTAGAGTATGAAAGGTTTGATAATAACCTGGAAGTCCTACAGGTTGCGGTTGCTCGTGAACCGGGATGGCCTCAATTGCCTTCTTTCTGTTCTCATCAATTATCTGCTTAACAAGCTCATTCTCTTTAATATCATGCAAGCGTTTTGCTTTCTGTTCTTTAGCATATCTGTAAAAAACAAAGAACTTTTAAATCTATACCAATACTAGTGACCCAGGCCGCGCGGAATTAAAAACAAACTTAATACGTAGCCTATGTGATCTTCCAGACTATGTTCTATATGTGTGCCAAATTTCATCAAGAACTGTTATGCCGTTCCTAAGATACTTTATAATAAATATCAATCCAACAATCTAAACTTTTGCATTTATAATAAGATTATAGAAAGTTTATGCTTCATTTGTTTCAAATAATTGAATGCCTATGATTTTTACGCATTAAAGTTATTTCAAAGGTTGACTTGGTTGCCACCAACGTGGGAAAATAATATTAGTAGAATTTTCTATTAGTAAATGACTAAGGTTATTTTCTAGCTATCTACTGAGTGATGCTGGATAGTAGTAGGTAACATAATCTATATGAATAATTAAGAAGCACTACTATGTCTTCTATTGTAACAAACAACGTAATGCTTTAAGTTTAAAAATAAAATGTTAACGACACACTTGTCTATTGATTGGTTTTGTTATAAAACATTCAATATAATTTAGTAGTGTGCAAAGTCTTTGTCAGATTAGTCAACTTTAAGCACATTTCTAAATATTAATTGCTAAGTTATTACAAATGACAAGATTATAAAAATTCCCATCGCTCGCTACTCCATTCACACTGTATTAATGAAAAATTAAATTAGTAGCTATGTTCTTTCAGACTATGTTCTACATGCCAAATTTCAGCAAGATTAGCTAAGCCTTTATGGTTATACATTCTTACAAACATGAAAACTCTAGTATTTATATTAGTTTTTCTCTCTCTCTCTCTAAAGTCCTATATATAGAAATATTTTTAAGACATTCACTGTTTTACGGGATAGATAGAGAGATTACATCTGGTAATATGACAATAGTTGTCATTTCTTCCCATTTAAACAAATATTTAGCCATAAATATTGGCAAACTAATGTAAGTCTTTAAAATTGCAAAGATATCCATGGTTATATAAACAGTTTACAGTATTGTAGAAATATACCATAAGTTACATTATTGAAATAATTAGTAACACCAATAAAGTTACATGACTAACCTATCAATAAGGCTGTTTTTCAACATTTCAGCAGCATCAATAGCCTTATTGGGATTTTTTGTTCCCAGCATGTTGTTATAGTAAGTCTTATCCTTCATGTACTCCTTGTCCTTGCTGAGGAACGCCACTACGCGAAGGTATTTCATGTAGTAAACGTACGAGTTTTCCTCATCGCCTCTATCGCGTTCCTGTTCAGCTTTCTCAAACAATTTCTGAGCAGTTTTGCATAACCTGTAATCATTTATTATCTTTTATTGATTTTTACTTAGGGACACATTAAATTTTACCTTATCAGATACTTACAAATGAGCTCTTTTGGATTTTAAATCCGGAACATTGTGTAATTTGTCTAAATCTTCGATACATTTCCCAAGATGAAGCTGCAAGCGACGCGTCTCCGTCATCTTGATAATTTTGTGTTTTCTTAAAGAAATCACCGTCGTTTGCACAGTAATAAAAATAAAGTAGTTGTTCACTACATTTGTTGTAATTAATGATGAATTAGTTATTAAATTACATTAAACGAAACAAAAAATCTATGAATACAAATATCCAAGTTCGAAACGTCACAATTTCATTCAGCTGTCAATCAATTTTTCATTCGGTCAATCAGAGTTTTAATTCATTGATATGGATACCGGTAAATTGTACAGAACTTGTTTTCCTCTATAAACTCAGTTAATCTTTGGAAAACAGAAATAGTGTCAAGTTATTTTAAATTTTAAAATTGAATTGAGAGAAGGCTCAGATTTAATTTAAACTTATATCGAATTCAAAGAAAACAATTTTTTTCTACAGTTTTTCTTGGTAAAAAGTAGTTTTGACCATTTGACATGTCCACTTCTGACATGACATTATTTATTGATTAGCAAAAACTTGACGTTTCAGTTTAATGTTATTGCAAATCGCAAAAAACCTATCTGCGCAAGTTCTCATGCGCAATGAAGACTTGGTCCGTGTCTCCTGGTCGATTGCGGTGTTCCATTTAGTTTTTCAGCTGACTACGCTTCCCACAGCCGCTTACCAGACGTCTCGCGCGTGTCATGTCTGTTTGTGCCGCGGCGTATTAAGACTAGAGTGCTTGTGTCCGTGTAGTTGACTAGCTAGTGCCAGTGAAAATGTTTTCAGGGCTCACAAATCAGGTTTCTTCGTGGATGGGAGCGGCCAAGGGCGAGCCCCAAGATGAAGAGGTACCCACCCCGACCAAGGACGCCACTGGAGAGCAGGCTGAAGGCGAAAAACAAAGGCATTGAATATCATTCTTTATCTTCTCTTTTGTTTCTTTTTCGCTTTTTCTATTTCACGGTAAAACCTGAAACTCCAAAAAATATATTTTACCTATCTTTGAAACTATAAGCATACAAAGATATTTTATGAAATGAATCTTATACGAAATGTCCTTTAAACCAACAGCTGTTAGTTTTTCTTTTCATAAATTCCGAGTTATGCTATTTTCTTTGTTACATAATTTATAATGTACTTCCATAAAATGAGGTCAATTGAAAAATGTTCCAAAAATTACATAACCATTTTACCATGTTGCATAAATTTTTTTGGAATTATATACTAACATTTTTAAACTTTCTGACAATTTTTTTTATTACAGCCCTACCAAGGGAGGCAGCAAGTTGGACCTGATCACCAATGTCAAGTCACAGATGACTGGCTGGCTTGGATCCGGTATACCCATACCTGGTTTAAGAAAAAATGAAGCCCCGCCCACAGAGGCAACTGAGGCTGCTCCGGAGGCAGCTGAGGCAGTGGAAGCCAAGCCTGAGGGGAAAGATGATGATGATAACTCCAGGTATAATAGGTACGGGGTTGGCAGATGCAATGAGTTTGCACAATTTTTTTTGGTTCAATTATATTTATTGGATGTCATTTTTATAAAAAAAAGTTTCGTAAAATTTTTCAAAATGTTGAAAATTTTTTCTTCATATTTTCCTTTAAGTTTTTTCATTTAGGTATAGAAATGACATTCCAGTAAATTTTGAATATTTTCAATGTAAAAAAATCAAATGGAAATTTTACAATACATTTTTTTTTAACCAAAAATTGCTTTTGTTTTTTAATATTGTGCCAGCACAATAGCTTAGCTGAATTGGGGATGCTTTATCATCAACTTTTCATTTGCTTTTGATGCACCAATTTACAAAAAAACGCATTTTTTTGCTTATCAGCTATATATCAAAATTTATACAAATTATCTCATAAAGACATAAACTTTTTCGAAATTGTACAATATTTTTTTTGGAAAATACTAAAAAAAAGTAATTTTTTTTTTAAATTGGCTATGTGTCTACAATTCTTTTTAACATATTATCATACATGTACTTTATACAAAGCAAATAAAACAATTTTCCGTTACTTTTTCTAATTCTAGAAACATCTATAAGTATTATAACTTTGTAAACTCATTACTCTGCTCTAACCCCATTTTTTCTTTATCATTGTTGTGCATATTTTACTATACTATATTTTTCTTAAACCATTTAAAAAAAAATCTCTATACCATTCAATAATTTAGTAGTTTCTAGGAGCATGAAATGTAGGAATTAAAAACTTAAGTAATCACTGAAAATGACGATCAAACTGATGAATTCTCTAGATAAAATAAAGTTTCCTACATCCTTTAACATAACACCAAACAGTACAAAAAATCGTGTATGTATGGATTATTCTGGATTCAACACTACCATTGTTTATAAAAAAAAAAAATCATCGTCAATCTTAACACGTACTCTGTCTCTCACCAATCTAATTTTATGACCATTTCTTTGCCATTTTTCTCCTTAAATGAGTAAGGTTTTTAAAAAATAAAAAAATGGGCGGGGCTGACTTGCGCAACGATACGTGTTACGCAATTATCACACATTAATATGTTTTCTTTATTGAAGAAGGTTAATCGAATACGAATGTAGTTCATCTAGGGATTTACGACTAAGCAATAATATAATGGTCTATTAAATTATTCACAATAGTTCTGCAATGCAGTCCCAAATATTTCATTATATTTATGAATCCACGTATCCGAGTACTGCTCTGAATCAATAACCGCTGGCATAATTTATGCATTTGTCGTTACCATAGTGAAACTTAGAATATACGAAAATACGAATAAACTGAGATGTAAATTGAATTTAAATTAGGATTATGTCCAGCAATATCACAATCTAAATATTACTATCTATCGCCCGCGATACTACGATACGATTTTAATGAGAACGGCCAAAGGCGTTATAGAGATCGAAGCGAATCCTTCAAACAAACATCCATACATCTTAACTTTCGCACTTTCAAGTAAGGTGACTACAATGTTATTAATATTTTCAATTAGTGCTTTAAATGTAAAGCCTTAACATTCTCATCGATCTAAATAACAACAAAAAACTATCACGAAACTATAGAACAGACAATTATTTTTAAATTAATTTAAGGTTACATCTACTGTTGAGATGGCAGTGTTATATACATTGTTAATTGTTATGCATGCTGTATTATTTTTCTGTTAGTGAATTATGTTTTTTTTATTATATGGTATAATGTTGTGGGTTATTTGGACGCAGCGCTACCGGTGGAGCGGATAGTAGACCGGCGTCTACTGGCGGTACTCCTACCGAGGAACAACCGGCTGGTGTTGGTAATGGTAAGTCATTCATTCACTCTCCGGCTAATCATCAAAAAATTATAGTAAAGCTTTCGATAGCATTGATCACGTTATTTGCTAAAATTTGCACACATCTAGCTACTGATACTTTTGCGTTTGATTATGATTTTATAAAGTGTATTCAATGTACCCAGAAATTGAGTGCAGGTAGGTAAAGGGAAATCTTTTTTAGCTATAAAATATGGGGTACCACGGGGTACTACTTAGGCCCTTTGCTTTTATCTTACTCTATGTGACCTTTGTTTCTTTATCCTTTTTGATTTTTTTTGTAGCTGCTATTTATATTTTGTTTTTGTTAATACCCAGTTTCAGGTGCAGGAAATAAAAAATTGTTCTCAGTTGATGCTATAGAAGTCCCCGATATGCAAGAGTGTTAGTATTTTTTATTTCTTTTAATTTACTTTTTAATTGCTATAAATATGTTAAGCTCACGTATCTACAATAACAGTGAAGTCCCGATTTATTTTTTATTTGCGTTAGTTTTTTAAATGCAAATGTTTTCCGAGTTTAGTCCTTTAATTTTAAGGTAAACAATGTTTGTACTTTTATTTTATAAGCTGATGTAATGTGGGTGTTGTTCCTACAGGGATATGAAGTTGTTGAATAAATTTATGCAATTTTCTCCTGTCCGCAGTCTGACCCCATCGGTCTTATTTGTACTCCGATGATTTCCCAAGTGCCGTCTAATCTTTGCAACTCCTATCAAGTTTAGGATAGAATTTTTTCCATCTATTTCACTCAGAGGAGTTCACGTATTAAAAATCTCCTATAACATTCGTACATGTGTCAGAAAAAAACATATTTGGCAATTTGAATTGGTTTTTCACGATTGACATTCGCCTGTTCGAGTATAAGCCTTTGTAATTTAATAAAAATAAATTTGCCATAACCTTTACCTTAATTTGGTAACTACAATACAAGAGTTAATTTTCTTCAGAAAATTAGCCTCCTTTTAGGACTAACAATATTAGACACTAAAGTTCTCTGTACTCTTTCTTTAGCTTTAGTTACGTGTTTAATTGACAGTGACAACCAAGGCTGTCGCCGGGGCGAAGTCTCTGGGCAACTTCCTGTACTCGGCCGTCAACAAGGCCGGTGCCAAAGTCAGCGAGGCTGGTGCCAAGATCAAGAAGACGGTGGAAGAGAACGTAAGTACATAGCTTTAGAATTTTAAAGGTACACTTGAAAATGACGAAATGAAGATTTTCCTAAGTTTTTCTCATGAAAAATACACTTTTGAGACTTTTACCAGGTTGTTTTTTTAAAGTATTGTTTTTTTTATATAACAATAGTTACAGTTTTATTATTAAGTCACGGTTTCGGAGTTGTGAAATATATTTTTATATTTCTACGGTTGATAAGTTTTCGTATTTTATTGGTGACAATGGAAATGCATATTTAATATATGTACATACATATTATATACGTCGCAAGTGAAAGACATTACGCACATAGTACAGTTAAAACGTATGCGAGTTGTTGATGATGCTACGAACACTTTCTCGCAAATTTTCGTGCTAGGCCTCCTGATATAAAAGGTAAAGATTTATATAAAAAGATAAGGAAACTCATAAAATCAGTAAATATTTCACATTTTAGCGTAAAATTTACCTTTGTTATGTAATCCTCGGAGTTACACCATTTGAAAGCAAGATAAATATTAATTTATTATCCGTGTCGCCCCCACTGTACCGGGGGGCTTGCAAACTGAGATTTATAGCTTCGGAAATTTGTTATGAAAACAGAAATATATTCTAACATTTTTACTGTGAAAAATTATATCATGATATTTTTTTCTTATAAAAAGTAAATTAAGATAATAAATTACTGGGACGTAATCTCTGAAGTTGTTAAAAAAACGTAAAAGTATTTTTTAAAATTTTTGACGTCCTGTTTGCAAATCCGCATTTGTTCTGGATAGTTTCCGAAACAGCTTGACCGATTTTGACAGGTCTTTTACTAGAAGGTAGCTTATCTTTGCCGGAGAAACTAAGGCGTTTTTTATTACTCTGCCTTGACAAACTTCATGTATGTGGCTAACAATAAAATGTATAATTAGCCAAGTATGCTAAAAGAATTTAAGAAAGCCAACTTTTATTTGCTGCTTAAAAAATGTTGGATAACATTTTTCACCGTAAAAAAGCCTTAGAGTGACTTATTGTATGTCTGAAATCAAGTTCCTTTTTGAAATGTTGCCAGACATTTGTATAAGCGGTAATAAAGTTACAAAAGAGAAAATTTGATTTGTATTACTTCATTCATTTTTATACAACCATCTATTATTACATCTGTTTAATCGTTTAATACTTCTTTATTTGGTCTAGGTATTAATTGTAAAACATTTATGATCGTTTTAATGTCTTTCAGGTCTTCATAACCATTGTCATCTAGTGCCAAATAGCCCCTCATTATGTTATTTGCCAAGTCCCATGCCAAGTTATTCATTGCTTTCCGGAGCCAATCGTTAACTTATTTTATTACTTCGAATAGCCTGTCATTGTTACATGAACACTGTTGAAGTTGTTCTACTGCCAATAGAATACATGTCTATTTATAGAGACCCATTCTTCCTTCATCTCCTTGGACTTATTCCACTTATGAGGTAGGAGCATTTTAATGTTTCGGCTTTTCTTTTACGGCCGGCGTCCTGCTTTTTTTAGAGACTGAAATGTATTTTACATTTTGTCTTATCTTTGTTCTTCATTTAGGTATTTTCGTGCAGTGTAGGCGAGGCGAACTTTTTTCTTATCAACAAAAAAATCAATTACATTTACTAAATCATTACATAAACCTAGATTTCTTTGATATTTGTTCCATAATATTCTTTTAAAGCTGTTACTACCTTCTTTCGGTTGACGCAATCGTTTAGAACAGTCGTAATGTGGCTAGAGTAAACGGACCGAAGTGTTTTGTCGTTTGCTTTTATTAGGGGTTCCTAGTTAAGTAGCGGTGGCTGTGATTGTAGGCGGTTTGGATCATTAGTGAACTCATATTAGTTTGCGTAGGTCGAGTAATGCGGTCCGTGGGTAGGTGGATTAAACCATTAGGTCTAAATGTGTCTTGGATTTATTTTGATGGGGCTTAAGAGTGATTTCTCTGAAACATTTTAGATAACTTCTATAATTAATTACTTTGGAAATATTATAGTCTGTTACGATTTTGTGTGACATTGTATGATATGTAATCAAGCTTGGTAATTTAATCTCGTGTTTAATTTCAAAAATCCATTAGAGAATTCATTATCCATCCCTGTTGGATTGCTTTATTCACTTGACCTACTTTTGTCGAGAGTTTCGCACTACCTTCGATATTCCTTAACAAGGTTCCAACAAAATTGTATGACGCGTTACGTAATGGAATAAACGAACAGAACGAAATAAAAATGTTATATTTTCCTTTGAAATGCTACGAACTGGGAATTCCTGTTAGAAAGGTTACTTGATCCAAATAACTTTACATCAAAAATACTATTTTCGTTCTAAAAAAAAAACTTTGTTGAAAATATTAGAGCTTGTAAATTACGGCTTCTTTTAAAACATTTACTTTGAAATACGTTCTTCACTTACAGTTAGCTCATTCGATATTTAAGTTTCGTACTCGACCTGTTTCACGTCGCTCACTCGGTCTGTAAATGACCCTTTCAGATGTTGAGTAGCTACTTGCAGTTCATTACGTGTAGTGCACACTACATGCTTAGCAGTCTGGAGAGATAGGAACTATCGGATTTTTAACGTCAGTCCATTATTAGTGGGAATAGTGACTCGTTAGGTTTGTATCGATATAGACGAAATGAATGGGGTAAAAGGTATTTAATGATTGCATTATTACTACCAATTTAAAAGTGCTTAAAATGTTTTGTTGCATAAAAATCCAGTACATTTTTTAAGCCGTAATAATATCTAGAAACAATATTCTGTACGTGAGTTAAATATGACATAACCTACGACAAATCCTCACAACTTTGATAATTGTAGCAATTTTTCTACGTCCTGTTTTTGAGAATCGAAGCCGGTACTTGGCATACAGCCAAGCTGCTACGCTTTCGGGCGAGCGCTCATCGTAATGCGACGATGTGATGTAACACCGCGTGGGTGATGACACGAGATAGTGTGGGCGTTGGCTCTTCTACCGACCCTAAGGGTTCATATTTAATGGCACCTGCAAAGAGATACTATATTTTTTATTATATCGTTGAATAGATGTTTACTTTCATTTTAACCGAATTAAATATGAACGTGATGTATTATAGCTTTGGTAGATAGCTTAGTACGTAGCACTGTGTAGACCGCTACGTACCGTAACTTAATTGCGTAGTTCGTAGCATACAAAGTGTAATGTAATTTTAACTACATCTAGTTGTTTAAAGTTATTTATGTACTTATAAATATTTACTTCGATTAAAATAAAAATATTAAATAAAAAAATGACCTCGACATTTTGTCCGAAATACGATTAAACTTGCGCTGTAACTTTGTCACAGCTTCTTAACTTTGTTAGAGCTTAATTTTGTTTTGTACGTCATTGTTGTGGAGTTATTTACGCTGTGTTGGTGAGAGGGGAGCACTTTGATTTAGTACAGGCGCGTAGGCGGTATTGAATAAAGCCTCGGGTACACTGCTGTGCTCAGTGCTCATTAAATTGAAAGCCTTTTATATCCCTTCCTATATAGTGACAAGTGTAGATACTACGTCATTGATTTTATAACAGGAGTCGTTGTCTAGTCATGAATCTTAGGTTTACGTTTTGCGAAGTTGTTAGACGAAAAGTTTTCTAGTTTTTTTTACTATGTACTAGATAATTTTGATAACTATTATAAGAAAGTGAAGAATAAGAAAGATGTCGTTGCAATTAAATGGAAAATGGATGATTAATTTTACAAAAAAAATCCACTTTTATTAAGTGATGTCAATGTGTCCACAACCTAACTCGGTGGCTTTTAATACGCCCCACCGAGTTTCTAATGCATTCTGATGAAGTTACAGCGTCCCCGGAAGCCTTGTTAATGTCTCTACATCGCAGGAAGTACACTCTGCTGTATAACTATGTACACAACACTATGTAGTTACGATACATGTAAAATAAAACCAGGATTCAGTATGTCTTACATAGTTTTTTACAAGACAAGTCACATATCTTTTGACGTGGTAATACGTCATGCAATCAATGTGTTTAATTGTACACCCAGTTGATGTCGATTGGTCCATAATTGATGCAGCAAAGCAATTAATCTTAATGAATTAGACAATTATCGTTATCGGATAGAGAATGTGATGTGAATCGTGTTATCAAATTAATTGTAACGAAATTAGCGAATAGTGATAAATGCAATCGATTAAATCCTATAAATTTATATGAGAATTTTGAATATCGGAATGTGGTACAAATCATCAAGTTCAAATGCTTACCATGAAATCAGGTTTTCCTGGTTTTACAATAGTTCGTGACAAATTATACCAACACTGGTACTAGCAAGGTTCTTTCCAATCTTGTAATGCTGATATTGTAACATTGTACCAAATTGTTTCTTTTTGGTACAAGAGCTTTGTCAATCAATGATAAATGAGAAAATCATGAGATTGATTAAAGTAGAACAGGTTTGTGCAGACTAGACGGCGTCGTATCGTCGGCGGGTCGGCACCGTATTGGCGGCCTGCCAACCGTAACTGGAACGTTGTGTAATCCCAACCGATTTGTTTGCAACATGGGGATTCTTCCTATGGGAACCGTCTCTATATTGACATAAGGAGTATCCGTAACTTTTATGTTCAGACTTTGGTGCAATGTCATTATAGACTTTGAAATAACCTGTATGTAATATTAAGTATACTATATATATTTATATTATTTATTAACAATTAGTTAATAGATCAGTAAAGTTCACTTTCAAAGCTTTTTCCGTAATATCAGATGACGTCACAGACCAACACCGCTTTGAATTTCGCCGCTCTCGTACAGAGTAGATAGCTTCAATCCCAGTTGATTGGAATTTGTACAGCGCGCTGTATATTTGGCTCGTTTTAAAATAATTGAAATTGAAATGAAAATGTGTATCGTCTCTGTTTGATCTATATAAGTTTTGTTTTTTATTGTTATTCAAAAATATGTTTATATTAGCTGACGCCTACAAATCCGTTCGCGTGGAATCAAA